CGCTTATATAAATAAAAGAAGAAGACACAGTAACAACAAGGTAAAGCACGAAGATTAGCTACGTTAGTTAATTCTTGGAATCAAGTGACTTTTTACATGCAATTTTAGCAGCCTTTTTAGTGAGTTTAGCCTACTTCTATACCCCTTATTTACCCCTTTTTAGCCCCCCCAAAAACTCTAGGTTCATTACAAAAATTTAATATTAGACCCTAAATCTTCAATTAACATAAATTAGACAAAAATAAATTATAATTGGATTCTAAGATTAGATCTCACAACCCTAATTCCACAGGACCATTCGGTGGAATAGGAGTTCTTTTGAACTTTCTACCTTATAAAGGGGGTGGACAGTCAATGCTGCTAGACACTGTTACGTAGATCATATGTGAAAAAGGTCTATATCGCCCAGATATAAGTTTTGATTCGCTGGTTTGGCCAAAAAGCGGGGCCAAGACGTACTATGATCAGAGACAGTCCGGCATTGACTGTCCACCCCCTTTGTATAAAATGGCATGAGATCATAGATACCAAAGTCTGTTTTCCAACACGCCATACCGTGTTTCTGGTCTTGAGTAGAATCAACCTCACAAGGCAATTTATCCTAGACCTGGAGTAAGACTTACCCCTCTACTCCTGGCTACCTTAGGAGTCTATTTGACGGTACTATATTAAATGCACAGGCGGCAACGGTCCGTGACTATGGAATGGCCCTGTGTTTTTAAATTCTGATATAGTCGTGTTCGGATTTGCGGCATTTTTGTTTTTTTCCTTGTTGTGGGGGAGAAGACCTTTAGACGTGGAGAAGAATGACTGACGCTTACAGTAGATCATGCTTTTTTCACTATGTTTGACTTTTTACTTTAATTCAGCCAGTGTGGGGAAGTCATTAACACATTTTTTGGGTTAATTGCCTTCCATTGCTTGCTGTATGCTATGTTTTTTTGAAGTAAAGTAAAATAGAGTACCGAGTCATTTGGGTGGACACGTGCAGAGCGGAGTGGTGAGTATCTGACTATTCCTCAAGTTTTACTCCAGAGCAATTTGAGTGAAAAGTACTACATTAGATTATAAGCTTTAATTGTCCTCTGTTTACGGAGCTTTTGAATTCCAAATTTATATCAAATCATGTGTAAACTCGTTGAAGGAAGTTGGTGTTCGGCTAGCTTGGACATCGGTCCGTCTTTGAGTGAGTACACTAAGTCACAATACAACTGACTCTCCAATATCCACATGATACCCTGAAATAAAGTAGAGAGTTACAGAGCTTGTATCCCATGGAAATATACCATCGCTGCTTATTTGTCTCTTTGTAGAACTGATCCACTATTTGATAAAAGTCTATTGTTACAGACGGTGTTTTTATAGTTTAAAAGGGGGAGCGGGACGGGTTTTCTTTTTCTTTTTCTTTTCCTTTTTCACACATCTTGAATGTGGGTTTTCTGATACCGGGTTTTTGAGGCTGAGTTTTAGCCCTGTTGGAATTCTGGGGTTTGTGGGTTCATTGCAGCATTGAATCTGGAATCCTGGTGGTTCCTTGGTCTCCCTCGCTCCCTCTTCCCTCGCTTTAGTGACTCAAAGCAGGACCTTGAAATGATGATTTTAACATTTTGAATGATAATGCAGGGAGTCTTCTTGTTTTGTAACTGCCCTAGGAATGGAGCTGGGTTTGAACGTGGGGGCAAGACCCTTACTCTACGATTCTTCTTGTATCTAAGAGAGTTAGAGAGCCAGACCTAGAGTCTACAGGGTACATGTACTTTTTATTCTATCGTGTTAGCGGTGTATGTCCTTCGGGACTGGGTAGCCTGGTGCAGCGAGCAATTTAACACTATTACCCAACACATCTTTAAGGGATATAGACTTTGTCCTCGGTACTTGTTTATGCAATTTACTCAGCCGGATCATGGGTGAGAATCTGGGGAGTACCGGTAGGATAATGGATTGGGCCGAGAAACTTATGGTCTGGTTCCTGCATTTAATAAACCTTCATATGAGGCCATGAGATTCCGTGAACCGAAGCTAACTTGAACCGTATCCTTGCTTGATACGCTTACAAGAATGTTGGTTCTTCACTTGTTGGGCTGCCAAGTCAAGATAATTAGACTATTGTCGACTTTCGCCAGGTGGTGGTGAATTTGCTCATATGTGATTGAATGACGTTGGCAGATTCAAATGCCCGACGAAAGCTTCTCAAAGGGGTCGTCCAAGTCAATTCCCGGTAAGGAACTCAACCACATCCCACAGAGGTTTAGTGAAAAGGACTCACTTTACGTAATACACTCCATTTTAGAGAACTACTCTCCTGATTTTTAATTAGGTCACAGAGAACAAACACTGTCACTTCAACTAAATATAGTACCCAAGTAAAGAGAAAAGTTTCACCGCCATTCATTACATACGTATCGATAGGTAAGACAGCTTCCTTTCCCTTGGTTCTCTTTTAATAAGCGAAACCGTGTTTCTTAGGCAAAGGAGGAACTCTACAATTATATTCTGTACTGTACATGCTTATCAAAAAGAGACATAGATTTAGGTATACATATCAAATGTGGAGGGTGTGCTCAAATTTGACTTAAACAGTCCAATAAGTGAATATGAGTACTTGAATTCTAATTCTTGCCGTGTTAGTGGCTTGTTATAAATGAAAACAGCTTTAGTCCCAGAACCACCATAGACATGAGATATCATGATATTTGCAACAAAAAGTGCTTGACGTAAGACAAGACCACCTGTGCATTATACAGCAAGCTATCTCGGTGTGTCGAGAATGCCTATTTGCCCGAGTTGCATCTGGCCTAGTACTGATTTCCCCAACAATCACCGGTATAGTTTCCCTACGTGCTTTGCTATCATCGCGTATGCATAGCATTGCAATCTTATGATCTCCATTTTTATTTATCGCCATTCGCGCTTCTCGCCTTCCATGCCGATTTTGCACATCGCCTGCGAACCACTTTTCCTAATCCCAGCCTTACAGGTTCAGCCAGCATACGGACCACCTTGCAGCAATGCAACACCACGATTCAGAGAAGGTAAAGAGAGTCACACGAATTTAATCTCGAAATCCAGCCACATTCGGGAACCAAAAGCACACGCACTCCCTAAACGGTTTGACGTGCATATCAACACTTCAACACTACCTACCTTATGAGCCTACCATTCACGGGCAGTACACTTAGACCTACATAATATTGATTTTTTTGGAGGCGTCAAACCGTCCGCCACTGTAAATCGCAATACGACCTGATGGGAGATGAATTTGTAAACTCCGGCAATCAGCAAGCCACTCGCTTCTTAATCACACCTTCAATACCCTCTTTCACTGAGGACTTTCATCCAAGCGATGGACGAAATCATAAGGCAATCATAGAAAACACATGTCAATGGTGTTACACATCCTTCAACCGCACCACGACTCCCACATCTCATTCCGAAAGCCGAACAAGTGTACATCCTGTCCTCACCCACCACCCACCAACAAGATTAAATTAAGCGAACGGTACTTCACCCCACAAAAGCAGCCAAAAGAAACGTTCATGTCATGTCTAGGGGTCCAACAGTTCCAGCCCAGCCCAATATAAAAAAATGTGTGAAATTCAATTAACCCCGACCGACAACTGGGGTCATCATATTGTGGTCACAACACTTCGTCCCTACGTGCCGATCGCTCCCCCTCCCTCATCCCTACAAAAATCATCCCACCCCACCGAGCCCACCCTACACTTCCCAATGCAACCCCACCTGAGCTCTTCATCGACGAACCTAGAAACCCAATCCATACCTAGGACAACACCAACCAATGGGAGTTCCAAAACCAGGTCCCCATGAATCCCTACGATGATCCAGAGTAGCGTTCATATAGGTAGTCAGTCTCTGCACGGGTCTAGACCCCGGACGTCCAACCGAAAGGGCAGAAAAAAAGAGAAGAAAAAAAATATCTCCCAAATCCTAAAACCCACTATAAGCGAAAGAGACTTCACGACTAACTCATTCAACAATTCCAACTGGATCTTTCTTACACATTAAAGCTAGATTGCTTTCTACTAACTGAATGAGGGAGTACCTCCGTAGGATGACATGACATATGGCATTTGCAGTCGGCGCTCACTTCAGCACGAACGTCATCCAACCCTGCCCCACCTAACCACATCCACAGTACAATACAGTACATTCTTGCCAGCCCAGCCCAGCCCAGTCCAGCTCTAGAGGTCGAGGATCTTCAACGCCTTGCTCGGAGAATATATGCAGTATACATGCATACCATAAAGTAACTCAAAACCCAAGCTCACGTGCGGAAACTGTTTCGATCCCTCATCCATTATTACCGCCAGAGGCAGAGCGCAGTTTGATATTCCCAATGCAATTTGGCGGGGAAGGGATCAAGCCTCGCACTCCAACGCTAAGAAAGTGAATCGAGAAAAAACCACAAAAACGCTCGAATAAAATGACCGCTTGCCAAGCGGGGAGGGAATTTAAAACGAAAATGCAATATCAAAAAGGTTCGTCGAACGCATGTATGTGTGGAACTCAAGGTCAATCAATGTTCACACTACCAGAAATAATGTTTGTAGGTAGAGTGTAGCGTAGTGTCATATTATCATCCGTTGGGCTCCCTAGTCCCAAAGGAACGAACTTCCAGACTTTGGACGATTGATTGTAATGTACCGTAAGAAAGACCTACTTACATATCCGTAACGTAACCTCTCCTAGACTCTGAAGTAAGTTCCCACTGTCCCACTACCGGCGGCGACGGCACATTAATAGGTTGGCCGTCCGTAACTCTATGCACAGCTCCTTGGATAAGATCCTACGTCACTCCCAACGTGACTCCCCATACAAACCCGAAAGGGCAATTGGCGCGCTTTCAGAAAGGCGCGAAAACAATATAGAAATAGGGACGGAATCTGAGATGGGGATATTTGAAAAAGTAACGGGGAACTCTAAACACACCCTCGTCTGGGAAACAAATCAACTCAAAGAACACGAAGAGCAGACAAGAGTTTGGTGGCTTTTTGGTCTTTTTTTCTTATTCATCTTCTACTCATCATCCATGAGTTCCGCCTTCGTTAATCCTTCATTCCACCCCCCACATCCCCTTTTCAAAAAAGACTGCGCTCTCCCAACCAAAATCTCATTGGGAGACGCTGAAGGTAATAGCCGCCGTAAAACCGCCACATCCTCTTTCGCTCGCCTTCCTCCATACTATTATATACACATTTCTCCCAGAACATCCAATGTCAGAGAAGCCAATTGCTACCACTATGATGTCCTGTAATCCTTTCCTTCTTACTTTTTCCCAACAAAAAAAAATTGAAAAATTGAAAAATGAAAAATGAGCCCACAAACATAGACACAATTGCTTGTATGGTCCTTTGTATAGTTTCGCGCCCATGAAAAGGAAAAGAAAACTCAGAGAACCAATTCCTATTCTAAAAAGGGTATTCCCCAAAGCCAAAATCTATCGGATGACCCCGAAAGAAATATCCCTGTTCCAGTTTCCCTGATATGAAAATGACCTAGGAAGAACACAAAGTACATACAATAAGGTTGATTGAACGGTAAGGTTCGAAAATAAACAATATAAGTTGAGTAAGTTAAACAAGAAAGTTATCGGCGTCAAAGACAATGACAGCATAGTGTCGAAGGACAGTAGTATTGCTAAGGAGCGTGAGGGTATCGGCTGTCGTAACATAAACAAGGAAAAGCGAGATTCGGCCGTCATGATCATTCGTGATAGATAGTTTGGTATGTGGTGGTTGGTAGAAGCGCAGTGAAATAATGCTGTACACAAGCTTCGAACTTGGTGGTTCGATATTAGGTAATTCGGCGTTCAAGCCAGGCGGAATGTAAGTCCGCGAATATTGGTGGGATTGTGTTAGTTCTGCACGAGGCGAGTCGTGTACTCCGCGCAATGTCATGGTTTTCCAAGCCCGGTCGGGAACTTTTCGGCGAAGAACTTCATGATTTTAGTCTTCTTGCTTGGACTACGCTGCAGCTGCATAACTCGCATTGGGCCGACAATATCTTCGTCGCCCATGGGAGGGAACTTGCCTTCGCTTCGGATGTCGTTGAGCGATGGTATGCGTGTCATGATATTGTCGTTCGAGTCGTCCCCGAGAGTGTTATGTTTTAAGGTTGCGAACGCGTCGCTGCCATTCTCGGCTGTGTGGGTAATGGTAATGTCATTGTACTTCCTCCAGGTAGCATCAACCGACGCCCATTTTTCTTCCGTCAACTTGTAGGCCTTGGAGGTAACGCCATAGTGCTCTCCTGTTCGAACGAGATGCTTGGTGTAATTGCATCGCGCGAGGTCCCAGTTGGCGCGTAGTTGGCGACAAGCTTCCAAATCAAAGTTCTCAGGGATGTATGGCTCCGGAAGAATACAAAAGTTTGCGTGTCCAAGCTTATTCGCCCATTCATCGTTTGGGTCGGCAATGAGCATAGGCGGGATTTCGGAGGATGGGACGAGCTGTCCTGGCCGATTTGCGTTCGGATGAAAAGAGGAAATAGATGGCTTCGTACTGAGAGGTGGAGAAGGAATGCCGGCCAGTTGAGGAGTGGTAACGGAATCGATTGGTGTTAGTTGTCCTGGCCCAGAGAAAGGGTCGTGTGGCTCTCTATCAGCCACAGAGGGAGACTGCAATGGAGATTGCATGGGTATATCCCGTGGACCGAAAATGTCCGTCATAAGAGGTGGAAGTAGAGGCGTTGCTGCGAATTCAGCTTCACGAGCGGCGCAAAGGTCATTTGCCTTTTCGATATCAATTGGAAGACCCGAAGAAGACTCGTCGAACTCGCTCGCCGTGGGAGTGGGTGGCATCTGGGGCTCAAAGGGCTGGTCTAGCGCTTGCCTAGTTGAGTTCGAGACGGAGGACGAACGACTTGACGCGGCGCCTGAACCGGTCTTCTCGTTCTGGGAATCCGAGGCGATTGATCCGGTCGAGAAAGTCCCTTTTCTAGCTCGCCACTTGCGCGAGAATGATGGGAAGCGTTTTTCCAGTCGCCCAGCGAGACCTGTAAGTGGCAACTCATTTCCTCTTCTTTTCTTTGAACGTGAACTTAGCGAGTACTCTCCATCGCTTAGAAAACCATCGGCCAAATCATAATCGAACGTCTGTTGCGTAGAAAGCTGTTCTGAGCTTTGCGCCATTGTTGGATCGCGGTGGAGACATTGTTGGCTGTCGCCTATTGTTTTACATGAATTAGCCGTAATCCTGTATCCTGTTTATAATGAACGCCGCCCATGACTACTTACACAAACAATCATATAGGTCGTCATCAACCGCATCGTCAAACATGTCGAAATCCTCGTCCCGTTCTTGTGGCTCTTCCTGGACGTCTGGCAATGATCGCTTGCTTGATTTAGATCCTACAAAGGTTGGTGAGGACGGACTGTCGGTGAGCGCAGCGTGGAATGTTGATTCAATTGAAGATGTGGAGCTAGAATATCTCATGTGCCCTTGTCGGGAGAAGTTTGGAGTTACTGGTGAAGGTACATCGGATGAAGAAGTCTGGGAACAGAAGGATGTGGACGAGAGGTCCATTTCGGCGTCGAGTATGCCTTCTCTCTGTCTTCTCTCCTCCACCATTCGTGGCAGCAATAGCGGCTTGAGTATTGGAGACATTGTGGTGTTCTCCAAATTTAAGGTGAAGTTTCGTATCGGTGTGTTTTCTGGCTGCGCTGTTGATTACCGATTATAGCAAGCAGACGACCGACATGTTCTTGTATGCTTTTTTTTTTCGTCGGGAGAGCTTTGAATGGAGGAATTGGTTGCTCACAAAGTCATACGGAGTCGTACGTGGTCGGAGACAGCTGGATTGAGGTCGTGATTCGAAGAGGAGGCAGGTACACGTAGGATAAAAAGGGTGTTGGTGGACTTGGGCCTGGTGCGATTTTCTGTGAAGGTCCTTTTTAGTTTCTTCGGCCACGCAGCCAGTCATAAGCAAGCCCGTTCGCGCTGCTGGCAGAGTTCGCCCGGAGCTCCCAATCAAGGCCCAAGACTGCGGGGCTAGGAAGCTAGGGGGCTAGGGGGCTAGGGACTGGGGTTTGGCAGCATCAGTCCATCTGCCCCGGTCAAAAGATTAGAGAGTTTACTGGCAGCAAAGGCAGAGTCCGGGTCCGCTGCCTGTCTGCGTGGAAGCTCTAATCTAGGGGTGGATACCTGGACTAAAAGTCCCAGTGTGACGGCGAGCCAAGGTAGTGCCCCACTTGACGTTGTGAGCGACGGGCTGGCAGGGGAGGTCGAGAAGTCTGGGCAGTAAGTCGTGACAGGGTAGGGGAGCTGGCCTGGCCGAGCAGGGTAAGTCAGGGTTGGGGAGCAAGGTGCAAGGAGCAAGGAGGAAAGGCAGTCTGGAAGCGAGGGTCCCTGCCGAGCAGCCAGGGCCAATGACTTCTGATCAGGGAGCCAGTCAAAAGGCTCCCACGGAGTGTGGGAGAAGACCCAGCGAAGAGGGAGGGGTGTGGATGTGGATGTGGGTATGGATGTGAATGTGCCTGTGGAGTCACTGTGAACGGGAGAACATTAGAGAAAGGACACCGGCCGTTTAAACCTCAAGCGAGTTTTCGGGTGTGGAAGCACCATCCCCATCCCTTGTGAAAAGAAAAAAAAGCAACTCACTCGATCCCACCAAACCTTGGAAAGGTCACCGAGCCGAGCCAGTGAGAGAGAAACTCGGCTTCGGAAGCCTGCGAGGACTATGGAATGAAGAATCTTTGTATTGTGTGCTGATTCCGTGAGCTGATTGCATCGTCAAAACTACCTCCCCCGGCCCTGTAAAGCCGTGATCTTTCTCTGCCTGAGAGTCGTGGCAGAAGAGATCGTGATACTGTTTAGGAATAGTGTGCCAAGTGCCAGTACCAGAGGACGAACGTACTTCGAAGTAACCTTTACTGTCTACTTCGTGTTTACACTCAACCTCGGCCACCGTGTCACGGCATTTGAGGATGCAAAGTGTTGACCGTCGTCACCCCCTGAAAGCCTTCCCCTCCCTCCCTGCTGCGCCTCTGCCTCTGCCCTCCCGGCATCGTTCCAGCGTCTTCCACACTTCCAACCATCCCCCCACCACTCGCAAGCCTCCGGTTGTCTGTGGAATCGTCCCAGTTGGGACATGTTCTCCCAGTGGTGCCAGCACAAGTGCCCCCGTGGTATTCGTTGTCAGCTTCCCGTGACCGCCTTCGATCGTCTGGCAGTGCACCATAGGTCACCCACTGGCTGGTCGTAGGGTGCAGATGCCATACCGTAGCCGACACTGATGAGTGCAAGTGCACAAACAGAATTTCAGACAAGATGTCACGAGTCGGTTCAGATGGCTCCGGCTGCTGAACAGGTGGTTGGGGGAATTACAAGTATTGAGCAATCGACATCGATGATTGCGTTGGTGAGACCGCCCTTCACCCCAGCTCGGGTACCTGCGCGAAAGCGTGCAAATTCCATGATGGTGAGCGGGAGTGGAAGATGATGAACAGGACAGGGTCTGCGAAAGCCATGGCATGGGCTCTCCCAACTTCCCAAGGGAGCATCTTTGAAAATCCCGACCGCTTGATTCTCACGAGAATCCCGAAGCTCCGAAACGAACTACTGTAGTCCGTAGTCTGTCAAAGCAGAAGTAGATGTAGTGCCAGGGCCCTATGGTGGTCCGTCACTTCTCAGAATCTCACAATCTCATCTTGCACCAGTTGCCTTCCTAACTTCCTTGAGTCCCTCCTGCAGCTTTCAACTTCAACGTCAATGAGCGCCGTCGAAATGTCTGCAACGCTGCGTCATCCACACTTTTCGCCCTTGCCCCATTCGCTTCCTTGTCACCCGGTTAGTCCAGAACTTTTCCAGCACACCCCCTAACCCACGCGGGTCGCTACGCGGAAGCCTGCAAGCTCCCTTCGGCACAATAAATCGCCACCTTGATTGGCTTAGGTAGACGCAAATGTAGGGTTAGTCTGTCAGGGCCAGGAACAAAACCAAAAAAACCCCAGCACGATACTATCAAGCCTTGCCAACAACACACCGCGCCTTCAGCCCTTGGAACCAGTCCAACCAGGGCCGTAAACACGGCGAGGTTCTCTGCAGAATACGGAGTACCCTTCGCAGAAGTACCTACCGTACTTCGTAATCATGGCCAAAATGTCATGATGGATTGTGGGCATTCCATGTGGTCGAGACGGCTCCTCTCCGGACGGCAGCGTCACTCAACGGTGAACAGCTTTGTTAAACTTGGGCCACGAGGTAAAATGCAACCTGTGTTTCCAAGAAGAATCTGAGCGAATTCAACCGAAGGGCTGCTGTATTGTTTGCGACGGGGAAGTATCGCATCTTCAGCAATCGACACCATCCCAAAAGTTCAGACCATTAGACAGCCCAAACACTAGACCAAGATCCACGAAACATCAAACACCAACCTCTTCCTTTGGTAAGTTTGGTTGCCCTGTTCGGACCATAACGTGGCCTGTTCGAAGAACGGTTATTTCTCCCCAAAAGGAGTTTGCAATTCGTAAGCCGCTCGTTGCCCGGGCCTTGAACACCCCCACCACACCAAAAAAAAGGGGGGCCCAAAACAAAATGCTTGAGAGTAAACAAACGTTATCTCAGAACGCACCAATCACAGAACCACTAGGTTCAAGTGTCTGGTAAAATCAAAGCAACTAAACGGAAATACATGAAATCTATGCTATAATATCATATCATAGAGGAATAATGAGAAGAATGAGAAGAATGAGAAGAATGATCAACATTACTAAGCAATCGCGTAGTCAGAAAATTGATCCACGTAATAAGTGGATTTCTATTTTGACATCATGTCTCCGCTGTACAAGTTAGCGACCCTCTCAGTAACCTGGAATGGTTGCTGCAGCTTAAAAAACTCAACAAGAGGCCCGAATGTCAGCAGGAAACAGCACCATAACGTGATTAATAAAATCCAAATTTTCATGGTGAGAATTGCAGAACAAAATCGCACCGTGGGGATTTTTCTAGTATCCAGTAACGAAGAACTCGAGCGTTTCAATAATGCTCATCATATCTCTCCATCTTTGACTTCCACAGCGTTCGCCGGAACTCCAGAAAAGTAGGCTTTTGATGGCTAAAGGTCGTATTTGCAGTCACTCAAAAGAAAAAGAATTCTTTTAGGCTTAGCCCGAACTGTGAAGTTGAGTTTTGATGATGATCGATATCCGGGTATCAATCGACCCCTCAATTGAACAGAAATAATTTTCACATCACTTCGGGATACGAAGAGGGGTATTATTGAACACGCAATGCCCGGTGTAAGAGGCCGAATTAGGTTTGATGATGCGGCTGTAGTCTGGTGCACAACATACAGACTGCTGCTCTTCACACCCACTTTGGCAAATTTCTTAAGTCCAATGTCGTAACCACACTTCTTTCTCCGTATCAGTCCCCTGAAACTAATCTCAAGCAGTCCGATTAGCACAGGTGAAATTATAATAATGTTGTAGGCTTGAGTGATAGGCGTACCTGAAAAGCCACTTCTGTGATATCTTGAAATCCCTCACTCAACTGAGGGGCATGATACCGTGAAGTGAAACCCTTGAATGCCATACCTGGGAGAATGGGTCGATTCTCAGGGTTCATCTGCACAAAATGATGAGCTACATACTCACATGCCAACGTCCATATGTGACAAGGCTTTGCATACAGCAACTCTTCGTTGGGATCGAATGCATTGCATTGGTGAGGAGAGGGAGATCACTCACACTTTTGTTAAACGCTCGAACTGCAGCATTGTGCTCGGAGAGCATGGTGGTAGCACTGAAAAGTACACAGCGGATCGGCACGGAATGCTTTGCAGCGAGGTCCACCCACTTTTTTCGAACAGCGACATCGGCATTGGTATTGTCTATGGCAAAATTAGTATGCATACACCTTCTGCGAAAGTCGATAATACTAACCAACTGCCACTGATTTGCCTTCTTTCAAGAACTCGTCTGCAACCTTCAAACACTTCTCCCGCTGCTTGAGTATCAGAATAATGATCACGCTCTGTAACATGTAATACACACTGTTTTCAAGATGTCTTGATTGACTCTCTCATACCCGATTGGTTCAAGGTTTTTCCAATAGAACGTAGACTTTCCAGCACCTGGACTTCCACAAAACATGACGATATCTTGTTTATTTTTCTTCAGAAAGGGCGCAAAAACTAGGCAAGAGATAAGTTATCGTTCCCGTCAAGTAGTAGAACGTTACACTGTGACAAACCTTCAGCCGCAGAACGGGCCACAAATTCCGATGGCTCAAAGGTGCGAGCAAAGGGCCTAGGTGATTCGCCGAGAAAGAACTCTTCCGGAGTCTGAAACTTGAGACCAATGTTCCCTGCAAAATCGCTATCTTGTGTGAAAATTGTAATCACTTGAACGAAGAATTGGGGCATACCGATCAGAACAACTGAAGTCTTTTGCTCGCCCCGCTTCCGCGTGACGCCCAGCAGCATCACCAACGAAAAGAGAGTGCTCCAGATCAAGGTCATCAGGATGAATATCGTAATCGTCCAGCAATTCTGTCCACATTCCTGTGCGTGGCTTACGATATATATCTTTCTCGGTAGCTGCGTAGAGATTGACTGGTAGGTCCAGCTGATTCAAGACGGCCGAAACCTTGGCCTTGAATACGGCCACTTTTGATTGATTTGATTTGGAAACTTTCGGATCCGCTTTCAAAGCAATTCCCCCCTGGTTACTGACAATTACGACCCGATAACTAAGACGATGTTGGTTATTTAATCCCATCTCTTGGAAGCGGAATGCAACGTACCCTTCCTCATTATGGAGCTTTCGAAGTCTTCCGGGCACTGATGGATCCCACCATTTCCAGTCCTCGCTGTTGGAAGCAAACTTCTTGCCTGAGGAGGTTTTGATGAGAGTAGAATCCTACAAGACAAATCCATGTCAGAGTTACTCAGACCTTCTCGATCGAGAGCGGAGATTACGAACGAAATCAAATGCAGCAACTTTCTTGTTCTTGTTATCGTGTGCACCAAATCCAGAGCTCGAGTTCTCTGGGATATATTTCGCCACAAGCAGGGTAGTAGGTGACGATTCGTCGGGAGAACGTTCTTGCCAGTTGATCTTCTCCGGGAGCTTCTGGGATGCGGGGGTGAAGAATGAGGAAACAGCGGACTCTGTCACCGACCTGTTAGCTGGGCCAAGTTCGACAGGTACGAGTGCGAGTGTGAGTACTACTGTGGTCAGGGAAGGGCAGTACATACTCGTTGTCGAGGATTGAAGCTTGCGACGTGAGGGGGGAGGGGAGACAGGCGCATCGAGGGTGCTGTGCTTCCTCTTTGCGGATGCGGATGCGGATGCGGGTGCTGAGGAACCTGCCATCTTGAAGATGAAAAAGATGCCCTGGATGTGTTTTCCAAAGGTGGAAGTGATGGGGATGATTGTGGTAGCCAGCTTTTGCGTTCATTCACCAAAGACAAAGGGGCTCCTCGTCTTGGCTGTTCAAGATGTTGAGTTCCGAAGTCCAAGGACCAAGATCCAGGTCCTCCTCAGGTAAGTACAAATAGCCGTTCCCATGTCGTCGCGTAGGGCGCGCAGGGGCCACGAAGTTGACGCGAGATCTACAATCTCCACGTGACTGGGTGCCCCTCTTCGCCTACCTATGGATGCCACCTATGCCACCTACAACCTCCAACTAACTTTTGATGACAACTCCTTTCTCTTCTTTGCTAAATTAAATATTTCACTTTTTCTTTTTCATTCTTGTCGCCTTTACATCTTTCTCCGTATCGAAAGATGCAACTTGGAAGGCTTCGTTCCCGACGACTTTCCGGATCATGGTCTTTGAACGTTAGCAAACGAGCAGTGATCGAAGTCCTCAAGAACCGGCAATGTATTCAAGAGTTTAGACACTGGTCCTCCATGCGGTTACACAAGTGAAGGCACTGACGCCCAAATATAGTATGGAGGCGATTTCAGATATAGGACATTTTGTCGTTATTCTAAACACCAAGGTTTGAATAATCATATCCTAAAAGCCTTCTACAGCTAAATTATTTATACGAGCGATTTGCGACAATTAGAACTTATCTATCTTGTTAAGCTAAGTACAATGGCGTTGATTGTGTAAGTATCGCTAGCACAATGGGTCCCTTACAAAGCTGGGTGACAGATGATTGGTTAGATATAAGGTTGAAAATTATGTCATGTGTAACAACGAATTCACTGGCGGCCCCGGGGATATTCCAAGATCAGACATCATACTCATGAGAGTTGCTACTCAACTCGAGGCTAATCGCACAGCTTCTTGTGATGACACCAGAATCCGGCGTTCTATATTCTCTTGTATTCTGATGTCCCTAAAGACCTTCTTGTGATAATGAGGGGGGCTGTCATGTGATTACCAATAAAGCTGTAAGCCTCCTTAAGCCACAAGAATTAGGCAGCTATCATTCTTTGCATAGCCTCCTATTTCATATCATTCAGCTGAAAGGAATACAACAACATCGTTCACGTCTCCTGAGTATGCTCTGCAAACTTCAAGATGCATTCTACCCCCTAGAATTGCCGAGTTCACATCACAATTGCATTAAGGGCGTCTATTCAACGCTCGAATAACGACGTAGTAAGACGAAGAAACATTCAAGGGACTTATGAGTGCTCTTAATTCCAATCCAACAACCGAGTGCAATTTCGAAGAGACGGGAAAGTAGTCAATATGTCAAATCTCCTTTCTGAACTCACCCCGGAAATTTCGGATGAATCTTCTGGTACTCTGCGATCGTTGAATGAAAACTTCTCAGTACCAAGAGATTCTCATACACCACTGTCATTGCAAAGCGAGCCTTCGGGAGGTGTTGTCACAACGAAAAAGAGAGAAAGAAAAGGGCACACAAAAGCAAGACGGGGTTGCTTCAATTGCAAAAGAGCTAGAATCAAGGTATCAATGTTAAAAGACGTCGTTTTGAAAATAGAGTCATAGCGATCGCTAATATATACATATAGTGCAAAGAAAATCGCCCAGCATGCGATTACTGCGCTCACCGAAACTTAGCTTGCAAGTGGCCTGATAATATACAGCTACAGGCACAAACTATTCCAAGTAGGGCTTTGGCACGAAGAACGGGACCCCCAGACTCAATTCCTGCATTGCCACAAGTTCAAGGCCCGGTTTTCAATGCCAATGATTTCAGACTATTCCAAAATTTCATTGACAGTGCATATCCACACCATCCAACCGGAAGTGAGTCGGTCTGGAAGCACGAAATTCCCGCTATTGCTCACGAGGTAAGCTGTTCTCTTCCCAGAGGATACAATTGAGATGGTAATAACCCGACGACAGCATGGGTATCTTCTCCACGCAATGCTGGCTTTAAGCGCTTCTGAGCTCGCAGACGAAGAGCCCAATCCCGTGACCTCCAAAGCCCTATCTTGCACCGCCATCTCCCACCGCGTAACAGCAATCACAAAACTTAATGTAGCGATTACCGCCGGTCTTGCCAATTTTGAGCAGGGAAACGCAATGTTGGCAGCTTGCTTCTCGCTTCTATTCCAGTCAGTTCTGCTTGAAGATGGACTTCTCGAATATATGACTTTTATCCGTGGTACCGTAACGGTGGGGTTTCAAATGGGCGTCAAACGTCATCGAGTATTGTTTGAACAAGCTTTCGAACAGACTGAGATACCAGAATCGATAGATAATTTGATGTTGGCAGCACCTCTAGTTCATCCGATACTAGTAAGGAAGGCTCTCAACAGCCTGGAGAGACTGCAGCCCTTATGCGATCATCCGGTTGAGATAGAAATGTTCAAGATGCTGCACGAAGTAGCTCGTTCCCTCATCACCTGTGAGAGGCCAGACCTCGAATAGCTCAAAGGTGTGGTTTCGAATATTCAATTAAGAAGTGCGTGAAGACTACATACATGCAATCTCTTCCTCTATATATAGAGAGAGGAAGAGTTTCTGGAGTCTTCCAAGAAACTGTTTGACAAATACGTGACGTCAAAAGAATAGAGTAGAAAAGTGTAGAAAAGGAGAAACCAATTTAGCAGTGGAGCAATGGCCAATGCTGAGCGGGGACTTTGGTCAGTGCTTAGCGAGGGCATGGCCCGAGCCTCCATCATGGGTTCCAACCCTCACATCACCTCTTCAAGGGACGGTAAGCATACCCCCATCCCATAACCGAGACACCTATCAGCTAATTTCACAACAGCTTATGCCTCGCTCCGCAAAATATACGGATACTTCTCTTACTTTGCTCCTCAGCCTTCCTTCGCTTATCTCACCAATCCAGTGAATCGTGTATGCCAGATTCTGTGTGCTCACTTCGTCGCCATGCAACTTATCATGACCCCCATCACACGAAATGAGTGGGTTGCACGGGAGGATAAAAAGAAGAGAACAGAAAATGAAGAGGTGACGGCGAGATGGTTCAGTGCCTTACATCGAAATGTGCCCGCAGAATGGATGCCATATTATGAATGGACTATGTGGGTAGAGAGCGAGGTTGCGAAAGGAAGGGTATTTAATGGGCTTGTGGAAGGCGAGAACGAGGAAGGTGACATGGAGTGAGGAGCATATTTATCACGACGGGAAACAACTAACTACCACCCAGTTAAATAAAAAGGCAGAAATACCACTTGTATACCAATCGTTGTTGTTATTAGTGTTTTCCATACAGATTTGATGAAATTAAAACCAGTACTACTCTATGTCACCACAAGAAACGACGCCTTATGCCCCTACTTATACATATGCATCCCCATGTCGCCTCGTAGGTAGGTAGGTAGTACGGGTAGACCAAAGTCCTAGGATATACGTCTATTAATACAGTAAATACTACTAGGGACTTGGTTATTGCTAGAATCTTTATGTTAACCAACGTTCGGCCATGGAACCATATTCCATAGAATTATTCCATTCCATTCCACCTGGAATCCTTCCAGAGCTTATATAAAATGGAAAGATTCCTTCCATTAGCAGGCTCTGGAAATTCCATGGAATATATGCCTCTGGAACCGAATGGAATTCCAGTTACCGAACGTTGATGTTAACCTTATTTGATCTTATGTATTTTGATTGCGGTTCGGGGACACTGTAGGTACGGAAGTAAATCATGCACTTTAGGCTTCCCCTACTAGAAATACTACCTGTGAAGCTAACACTACTTTGCCAGAAAGTTAATTAGTATACTAGTGAGGGGGTACATAGGTAGTAGTTCTGTTACAAAAGAATTGATTAGGTGGTGGTTTAGTCGTTTACCGTTACTACAAGTATAAATTAAGAATTATCTCAAATACCACCTTATCAACAGAACAAGCGATAGTCTACTACTTCTTAGTACACCTTCTTCTCCCTTAGAAGAATGAACCTCCCCCCGCCCGAAAAGGTCACGATCCGCCCTGCAATGTCACCACCACACCACAGCAAATCGCTAATCTCCCCCCCATCGGGCCATAAGAAAAGGTATCAAACAAGCAATTTCTACCTTTCAAACTCCTTCAGAACAAGTCACCGTATCGCGGTCCCTAAGACTAATCAGTTTAATAGTAAGTTCCTGTAGTCCGTTTGACGCTCCCTTATTCAAGCTCTTGTTCCCCGACATCTTAACCACGGTACCTAACCCAAACACCACCTTCCTTCCCTTTTTCTCTTTCTTTTCTTGTTGATTTACTAGTAAACTTGTTAGTAAAACGATGAGTGGCATAGGAACTGGCACATAGAAAAAATGCCATATGGATTTACTTCAATAAGCGAGCTATTTACAGTTAAGCTAAACCTGCTCTTTACCCCTAGGCGCTGCCACTCTGGAAGAAAAGCCACAGGGACCCTCTGTGAACTGGGATGAGGATATTCATGATATGGTGTTTGAGGAGAGGCAAGTCTATCTTTTCCAGATACCGCATTGTATTCGCCAAAGGGCAATCGCGGAAGAGAATATCTCCATATGACATTTCAATTTCAACCCCCGATACGATTCTCGCTGTGAGGACCTTTGCGTGAAAGGGGTACGAGGAGCAAGATCATAAGTACGGAAAAAAGAAACTGGCAAATCTTACAATGTACGAGATATCTCTATATAGGTATAGTACAAAATAAACGAAATTTGTCGCTTCTAGTCCAGTCCCATATTTACATAGTCTGGTAGATGGACAGATGCATTCATAAAATTTCTACACTCCCAACAGCCATTCTCTGTCTTTGGAATCCTCATTGGACTCCTTATCCGCTTCTTTCACCAACAAAGTAAGTTTGTCCATCACGAACACCAGCTCCATCTCGTCTGGTTTCCAGTGGACCTTGACCTCTTCCCAAGCTTGCAAAGCCCTTCTCTTCCCACAGCATTTTGAAAATGCTTTCAGTGCCCATACGACCATCCATTTGGAGAGGAACACGTCCAAGTTCTCGTTCCCGGCGGCCGAGACACACGATTTCCAGACGCTTTCGAGGCGCTCAGATGTCCAGTCTGTGTATCGAATGCCTCCATGCGCGGCAAATCCTTTCAGCAGGGCTAGGAAAAGGGAGCCATGGATGGGGATATTGAATTGTTTCATCTCCTCGAGAAGTCGTGTAGCTTTATCAAGCTCACCGGCTTCGACCGCATAATACCTCACAAGGATTTGGTAAGTGTGAAGATCCGGTGCGATGATGGAATTCCTCTGGTGCAATTTTCTACTGGCAAGATCCGTTTTCGTGACTAGGGCTATTTCTTTCAATCTCCTAGTAATCTCTCGCTGTTTGAGATAGTGGCGCGGCGCCAGTTTGGGCTCGGGCTGCTCCAAATACATCTTCTTCATCCGATGATATATGTTATGGGCAGCGTTCGCCTCATAGGATGAAACCAGAGCGGCAATCATAGCATTCAAGACGATTGTATCAACGATTTCTCCAGCTTCAACGAGAGCTTTGTATGCCGCTCTCGCACCATCGCCATTCCTTTTAAGAGCATGATAATGGATCAAACTGACATGATGAAAACGATCAAACTCCAAACCACGAGTAAGCATTTCTTTGTAGATCATCTCTGCCAGAACAAATTTCCCTGCCTTACAGGCCACGTCAAAAAGAATATTAAAAGTGGTAGCAGTGCCCTTGATCCCAGCAGAATGCTCCATATCTCTCCACATATGCAATGCAGCCTCAACTTCGACCTCTGTAGACCGGTCAACATACCGTGCTACAAACGAGATGGCACTATTCCATTCCGTCGATCGCAAAGGTATGGCCGTATTCTTCATATCATCAATAACAGACAAATATCGCAACATGGACTGTTCGTCCTTTTTTTCCACCGTATATAGACAACGTAGGAATTTATGTCTGGTGCCTGAATCAAGGTACGGGACTCCCGGCTTTGGTAGATCTCTGTAAATTTGGTATGCTAAATCTGGATCTGGGTTCTTTTCTGAAAGAAGCAGCTCTAGACGGTCGAGCTTCTTTTCAGTTTCCGGGCTTGCACGCCAGGCATAATGCGGGGGTGGCCATTCGTCTTCCTCCTTGTCAGAAACGGTGAGATTTGGTCCATCGCTGGGTTGATAGAGACTCGGGAGCTCTAGGTCTGGTATCGGCAGCTGACCGGTCAAAGATTCCCCGTCATACTGGTCCACCAACTCCATGAGCTCTTCTTTTGTTCGATTGGGCTCGCTATCCTCATCTCCGATATTTTTGGGTTCCATATCTTTCGTAGCATGCTGCCGCTGAGGCGTAAGATTGTGAATTTGTCGTCTCTTGGCTGATAAATCTGGTCGCCGAGATGAGAAAAAAGAGGTGGGATGGAGGGGTTTCAAGTTGTGTTTATTGCAATTGCCAGCGTTGGCTAGGGAATTGATAAACCATGATTCGAAATTCGGAGTGGTTGTGGACACCATCTCGCGAACAGCTTGAGGACGTCGCTTGCGTTTTGAAGGTCGCGAATTACGCAGAGAGTCAATTGGATATAGGAACGAAAGCACTCGTCGATGTGCTGCTACCTTCGTGACGAGAGAACGGGCCGTCGAGGGAGAGCTGCAGAAGAAGACGGACATGAGCTTCCTAACATTGTGAGCTTTTTGTCACCGTTGCCGTCTAAGCAATGGTGAAATTTTTTCGGTAATTCTGCCCTCTTCCTCGGTCGAAAATTGAATTGAATGGTATGGAGACAGAGGCGCAATGCTCTTTGAGTTGAGGTTCTGAAATCTTGAGATATTATTGCCAAGCTATTTTTGCGATGACGGTGGAAATTTAATCCGACCACACCCCTGCCGAAATTATTCAGGGTTGAACACAGCCACCAGCTGGAGGGGAGACTCGACCCTGGACGATCGCAACATTACTGACGACTGTACGTGAAATTTTGCTTGATTTACAGGCGCACAGCTGATATAAACTCAGATCGGTTCTATCCACCATGGGAGTCCGTAATCTAAAACCCGCGCGGGTTTATCAAATGGCATCGGCCCTCCTCGAAACCAACAGCATACACCAAACACCAGCATGGTTCGAGGCCATTGGCTCAATCCCCCCTGGAGAGATTCTTACACGAACACAGCCTGTTAGACATCGGAAAGGAAAGGAAGGCTCTAAAAGCCGGAAGCCGAGCAAGATGTTCAAGCCACAAAATATTGTATACCAAGAGGACTCAATACGGCAGCAATTCTATCGCGATCACCCGTGGGAGCTGGCCAGGCCGAAGGTGTTACTAGAAAATGATGGAAAGGATGGGCAGAGGTGCAATTGGTCGAGGATTGAGCAACCGGGAATACCATTGTCAGGCGAAAGGTAGGAGCAATGATTTAATAGGACGGACCTGAGCTGATACTTTGCAGTGTTGTTCAAAGACAGCTATGGCTAATAAACGAGGCACAAACTCCTAAAGCAAAAGCATACGATATAGCCCGGAAAGAGTTTTATGCCCTACGACATCAGGAGGAAGTGGAGCGTCGGGTCGCGAGAGAAGAAGCAACGTGGGTTGGAGCTTACTTTGGTAAAGGTGTTTTGGAAATTGGGATGGGGCTGGAAGACCGGACATATGACTCCTGGATGGAGTGGGCAAAGAAAAATGTTGCGACGGTGGAAAGGATGCGAGACGCAGCGTACACAACTCTCCCAGAACTTGAGGAGGAAGTATCCCCACCTGAAGGTGTTGTGGCGGCAGAAGAAGTGTAGGCGGCAGCGTAGCAAAAAGATTTCTTGTAGAATATGGGTAAATGTACAATACGCAGGAAGTGTATTCATAGTTCTTGGGAAAGGTCAAGATCATGGAGATCTTCAGCTACCAAAAGCTTGTTGCACATAATCATCTGAGATTGCTCATAATGTTAGAGAGACCCTCGGGCTGTACATACTAAGCCTCAACTGTTGAAAATTTCTCTGCAAATATTCAGCTGCAAGTCGTTGCAAATCTCGTAACTGTATGACTGCAAAGGCTAAAGCAAGGAGCAGATAGTATGTCTATTCGACGAGGAATCCTTCCCACTCAACTTTTTTTCTTCCACTAGGTCCATTGATAGCCAAAGCTAGCTTCTCCCATTGCACAAAAAACCTCTCACAAAGCCCGGTCTTCAACAAAATCTTGCCACTCAGACTCAAAGTCTTGACCCGAGCCCAACTTTCCACGTAGATGATCTTCATGGACCAAACGGGTGCCACAGCGAAAAACTTCAGAATTGTAGCGGCTAGTATAAAGATGACGGCGGTTGCAGGACCATTTGTGACGATGACATCTGGAAATTGACCTTCCGTCACACGCGAGTATCTTGCTGTTTCGTTCAAAGCCTTGAAACAACCGAGCAGGCACCATAACGCCGAAAAGGGGGTCGTATACAAAGGTTGGTGGATTTTTCTCGCTCGAGGTACCAGTTTTACATCCCAAGTTCCGGTAACTGGACTGTACTCTCCGGCATTTGTGACTTTGGATGGTGGATCCGCATGATTGGTCTGAATGCGCGTCTCAATATCGAAAGCTTTGCTAGAAGAAAACCCGTCCCCAGATGACATGATGTAGGTACGGTGTTTGTATTTTCTTGGGTCAAAATCCCGCATGAGGGACATCATCTCAGCTGTATGTCCACCAGAACCCAGAACGATGACCATATGTTTTCCCATATGGCTTGCGCCATTGCGGCGGCTTTTTGCACGGGGTTTCTGGTGGGATATCCGCTTGGAAGGCAGAATGTACAAAATCCGTAACTAGAGACAATCAGTGAAGGTTCTCCAAAACAGTCACTTTTTCTTACGAATGCGGTGGTGACTACTATCAATGTAGCTGCGATACACAATCGCAAGGCTGAGAGATATGCCATGTTGAGGCTGCGATGTCGAGGAGTTGTGGAGGCCAGGTTGCTGCAGGTCCGGGTGCTTGCGAAGCGAGACTTGGCCCACTTTAATGCCTCTCACTCCCCTGAGTTGCCTCAACGACAACCCTCCTGGAGGTTTAGTAGAAGAAACTCAAATTGATCGAATGTTCCTTTTCCGACTTTTAAAAGGTTTCCAAAGAGAGATCACGGTCAAATTTCACAAACTCATTCTGAAACCAATCTTCAGTTTACCGATACTTGGTACCAAAGAAATCTAGTTGTTGCTACAGATTCTCAACCCCGCATTCGACTAGAAACTCCTAGATTAATCTTCTCCATGAGATCGTTGAGTACTGGGTCTCGAAAGGAACACTTCAGTCTAGTCTTCACTTTTACTCTGGGTGAAACAATGGAGTACTTGACCATTTACAATTCTTGCTTCACCTTAGTGTATGCTATGAGACCAAGGGAGCCACGAACTTCACAAAACAGTATCAGAGTCCAAAAGACAGAAAAACCAATCATAATTCGAATTTTCTGTAAGACACTTTAATGGGCTATCTGATTGGACTATTTCATAAAAGTCAATGATACCTAGGTACCAGTAGGGTTGTGGGAAGGTGCAGGGATGGTGGCTGGCTGGAGTGAAGGGGGGTGGCTGTCGCGTTGCTCCCACAAAGTCGCGGTTTCCATGTATACATTCACCGCAGTCAAAAACGTCTTCTACCAGCGTCCAGATCTCCTCCTTTTCTATTCAGGCGCAAACCACGTTGCTTTCGACGGATCCTTCGCAATTGCCATCACCATCATCACACCTTATTCACCTCCACTGCCAAGATGTACATCACAACACCCATGAGCATCTCCATGTCTCGGCGATTGCCCGCGCACGCCTACTTATACGATAACCCCGATGATGAACAGACCCCAACCGAGGGAACGCTGACCCGGACCATCAAGCACTCGAACGTTTTCTATCGCCTTGCGACATCGATCAAGTATGCTCTCATGGCATTTCGTAGCAACTACATCGTTTGCTACTTCTGCAACGTCAAATCTTCCACCAAATTTCACAGTGGAATAACTTCATTCGTCTGTCCCTGCTGCGACGCAGAAAATTTCTTGGATGAGGTGAGTACCGCTACTCGTTCATTTCGCAGATTGCAGACACTGACATGGCCACGCGCAATAGAACGGAGACATTACCGATCCTCCAGTCTCCCTCGTTAGCGACAACAATGGAAGCGCAAATCTGCGCCGCCGTCCCTTGACTGTCCCTCGACTGGACTTTGAAATCGAAGCCCCATCTACCAATACCTTCAGCTTCTGCAAGCAATGTAGCAACGAGCAGCGTCTCAAGGTCGCAGCCATCGCCGGTTTCGAAGGCACCTCGGAGGCTGCGCGAGAGGAGTTCGTTCGCAACACCGAACTTCGATACCCTGGAATTTGCGAGAAATGCCGACCGGGCGCCAACGAAGCTCTGAAGCTCTCGTACAAGACTGCCAAACAAGACTTCTTTGGTCAAGTTTTGAGGAAGAGCAGAGCGGAGAAACTGAATCGTCAACATACCACTATCACTGCCAGCATTGGACGCCTAATATGGATCACCGCCATCATCGCTCGCATCCTCTTGAGCATCTGCAGCATCGTTATCGCTGCCCCTCCCCGTATTCTCAACAACACCATCAACACCGCAGTTGACATGGTTGCAACCGACTCAATTGTTTGCCTCATCTTGACCTTGTCCTCCGCCTTCTGGAATCCAAAGTACAATGGATCTCAACCTCTTACTTCACACCTCACCCGGTACACAAAATGGTATTTCTTCCAGATTTTGACATGCGCGATTAATGCAATCACCTTACTTTATGTAAACCCGCTTGTCTTCGGATTAAATATTGCCGTGGTTACTATGAGCTTCCACGTTTCCTTGATTATATTTTACGTTTTGGTATGGACTTCTTTCTCCAGTTCGTTGCCTCTTCTAATTATTTCCAGATTGCAAAGATGGCTCTGGATTCGATAGAGTCTGCCACACGAAAAACGCCCAATTGGCGCAACATTCCACTTATTGACCCCACGGTACCACGACCTCAACCAAAGGGTCCTGACACAATGTTTTCCGCCTTGATTGATATAGCGGCGGGTCCATCTGTCAATCAAAATTCTCTAGAAGACTCCAGTATGGACTGGACTCCCACAGTCCCGAAAACTCCTACTGCACCTGCACCTAGAAAAATAGCAGCTGATTTCCAGCTTGCACCACCAAGATTCTTCGCACCCCAACCACAAGAAAAGGATGTCGATGATGTTGTAGCGTTATTTGAGAAGAACCTATCGGTCTCCTCCACTGATCATAGATACAAGAGGTTTACTGTGACGAAATTTGTGTTGATTTCGACTGCAACTTTGATTTTTTGCATCGGGGTTTGGTTCAGTTTGTGACCTTCGACGCGATAATATCATGCTTTTTCTGGTTATTTCGCATTTTGACACGACGTTGTCAATCGGACGGGGGGCATTCATCGGGGTATACCCAAAGGAGTTTGGAAATTGTTTTGTACGGCACTGAAGCGTCAATTGTCTTGGAAAAGAATATTTTGCATTCGGGAAAAGGCGTTCGAGGGAGTGATTTGTACAAATTGAAAGAAGACGGGCGGGAAATGAACATGTCACTAGAAGTTGTATGAGTAGACAGTGCAATTGTACATAGACTTTAATGGGATGGCCAAAGGTCCTTTGAATATTCAGCTCTTCTCCACTCTTTTCTCTTGGTGACCTTGCGGTACTTACACTCTTCGGGGGTTTGATTTATTCAAAGCTATTCAACTGATTTGCTTACCCTGAGCCCTATCTGAACTCTTCATCCACAATATGGTAACCATTGAAAGTGCCAAGATATAAAAAGCGCCCCCTCGCTAGACTTCGCTTACAATAAACGAAATATTGCCTGCGCAGAAGAATTACCCAACGTATTTTGAAAAATAAATAAAATAAAAAAGAAAACGTAGAGATAGTATATTGGGCAGGAACCTTGGGTGACACTTTCCAGAACTAGACGTTTTGACGTTTTGCAATGTATCGCGCATCAGACGTGTTTAGAAAATACATCTGTCGGTCTGGTGGGTTGGCCATTCGCCGCTGGGACTTTGCAATTATGTGGAAGATGTTGTGCTTATCTTGGATAGGAGCTGGAATTGAGGGGATCGTATTACTGAGGGTTGTTCAAGAGAGGGGTGAAACATTTGCAATCTGAAAGACTAGGCTGTGGTAGAAAGTAGCCTGCCCAACCAAACATGGGTTTGCTTTCCTGAACCTCAGGTTTAGCGTCCTAGAGATGTAAGGGAATTCGTAAGCTCTTCGTTAATCATTACTCACTACACTCATCGTACAATTCTGACCAAGCGGGCTTTCGCGCCCTTAATCGTACAGTTTTGAGTGTCCTCATATCGTTCTCCATGATATCATGCCACCATTTTTCAATATCAAGTCATTATCAAATAACGCTCTCTTCCTTTTCTAGCTTCCCAAATGTATACGCCAAACCCCCACCAACAACATTCATGCCCGCAAGAACCATTGCGGATCCCCTAGTCAAACCCCTTGCCCCGAATCGTTCTCCGACTCTTCTCCCCCAGCCTACGCCGCTGGTTCTCACCTTCCTTCTATTTGCCATGATTAGGTAAAGACCAGACCAAGCAGCCGTAATCCCAGCTGAATCGGCGACGAAGGAGTTCAGGTTCAAGTATGTGCTCAAGAGAAGGACGGGCGGAAAGAGCATTGGGAGTCTTTGGAATGGGCGCATGTGTAACGCGGTAAGGAGAGTTGCTAAAATTGTTGGAGGTAGAGGAGATTCTGGGGATTTAAGTCAGTATCACTGTAGGCGCATTCTGCTTGTGGAGTTGACTTACTCCCCCAATCCATGGCCATAGAAATGGCCGTTCCTTTGGCAGCTTGCGCATTTTTTGTCTCGGAAGACATCTTGAGGTGAAGTTTTGGGGGAGGCAGAAAATTGAAGTACGAGTGCGCCCAGGAGAATACGTTGAGTTTGGCTCACCTGTTCAAAGAGAGTGTTTACTCACACAACTTTTCGCTGAGGTCATCGCATCGTGAGCTAGAGAACTTGCAGGGGATAGCTCCACGATCACGTGGGTTTTGGGACGACCCCTGTAAACAAGGACCGAGAGATACGGCTACCATTATGGCAAAGAAGACCGACGGCTTCCCGCGTCGTGTCCAAAACAAATACTGCGCAACAACAACAGTAACATCGCTAGTAAAGGGGTTCGCATCAAGCCCATTTATTTCTGGATCGCCTCTAATCGTTTCTATATCCCGCGAGAAGAAGGCTCATCGATACGATGTCTGCGTCCGGCACAGATGCCAAATCGAATGGAACTGCGAAAAGTCGAGACCATAACCAGGGCAACCAGGATAGGAAATATACCTTGGAGCAAAAGACCGCAGTCTTGAGAGTTCGAAGGTGTGCGCCCACGGCCTTCTACGAAATTTTGGGGATAGAAGACGTCAGAGCCACGGTGACTGAGAGTGAGATTAAGAAGGCATATCGGAAACTCAGTCTGTTAACGCACCCCGACAAGAATGGACACGAACATGCGGACGAGGCTTTCAAAATGGTGAGCAGGGCTTTTGGGGTGCTGGGCGATAAGGAAAAGAGACAGAAGTATGATAGATATGGTGGGGATCCGGATAGCCGCTTCGGTGGTGGTGCGCCTCAGCCTGGCCCATTCTCAGGATTCTCACAGAGACAGTCAAGTGCGAGGGGACAGCAGCGTGGAGGTGGTGGGGGTATGTGGGAAGAAGAGATCACCCCCGAAGAGATGTTCAATAGGTTCTTTGGAGGCGGTTTAGGTGGTGCGTTTGGTGGTGGTAAGTCTAGTATGTCATCAAGTGAAAAATCTCAAACTAATGTCTTTTCAGGCGGCGGAATATTTGGGGATGGGCCAGGAGGCCCTGGTTTTGTTTTCAACATGAATGGAGGTCCTGGAATTAGAGTACAACAGTTTGGAGGAGCAAGACCCAGAAGAAGGCCAAGAGACCCGAATGCGCCGCCCGAACCCCCGCCAACGCTTTCGAGTGTACTGACTGGATTATTACCGCTCCTTCTAATATTCGTCTTGCCGCTACTTTCCTCCCTGTTTTCTGGCTCATCTCCGTCTGGGCCAGAAATGCGTTTTGACCAAGCTGTTCCACCCCATACTATGCCTCGTCACTCAAAACATTACAAGAAAGAATATTGGATCAATCCTGTTCAAGTGGAAGGTTACACAGCCAGAAAGCTCGTTGAACTTGATTCGCGGGCTGATAATGTCTATGTTAATGAGTTGAAGATACTCTGTCAGGACGAAAGAGATAAGAGAGATCAGTTAATACAAGATGCACAAGGCTGGTTTGGCATAGATAGGGCTAAGATGCACGAGGCGAAAAGTATGTCGCTACCCAATTGCCAGACATTATTGGACTTGAGCCGGTAGCGGACGACCCTTGGATTCTCATATCCTTCGTGTATGAGTTGCTGGGAGACATGATTGAGAAGCATGGCGTTTTTTGGGGTAGCATTTTTGATAATCATGCCATGGAGTTTAGGGGCATCCGAATATAATGAATACAGCGTTATTCGTACTTTTTGATACTATGTATACGTGTGAATTTGCTCCTCTTCAAGTCAGCTCGAGTTTCTTCTACTTTCATATAGTTGTTGAGCAGGGGAGGAACTCCTGATCTCTCCACTATTGAAGTCATTTCGACGAACATCTTCTGGTCTTATGGTTTGAAATTCTCAACAAGTATATCAGAATAGGAGTTTGTAGGGATTTCCTTATATTCACTTTCTTTATTAGAGTTTACTTTTTGTTACAGTACAAATCTTATGCCATTTAGTAGTGGCTTAAGATTTGTCATAGTGCAAAAGAGTAACGGCAGTATTGAACATTCTTGGCTCTATTATAACACTTCAAGCACAACTTTCATTTTCTCCTTGTCTCCTGTCAGACAAAAAGTTCTTGTTAGCGAACTATTGCAGGGCTTTTGGTGAATTGGTTTTATCAATAAACATCAAAACAATAAAACAGGCTAACTTCAGTCACGCTAACGGGAAATGATTCTCTGCAACTTTTCTTGTTCGCCTGGAGATTGTTTCAGTGTAAATGTTGAGGTGCATTGGCCGACGAGGGGTTTCCACCCACATCCCTGCAAGTTGCGATAGAGAACCTTATCGGTTGGCCTTGCCTTGATCGCTAAGCGTAACTGCAGTGAAGTGACTCGAGTGGGACAAGGCTACCATTGTACATTAATACTCAAGCCGTACCTCGATCGCTCTCGCCCATAAACATCTACCATCAACCATCTTGCGAACCAGGAAATCACCACTCTGATCGCAAGTATGGACAGCAACGATCAGCAACCGCCCCCTCCTCCAGAGGCACCGGACAAAGAGAAGATGGACCAGGTTAGGATTGCAGCTATTACTTGTTTGGTTTGGGCCTAACTGACGACGTTATTCATGTAGATCCGGCAGCGACGAATGCAAAAGCTAGGGGGATCGAGCGCGTCAACTTCAAATCCCGAAGGGCCCGCAGAAGGTACAGCTTTGTCGTCGAATCCACAAGCTTCCTCCTCGACTCCAAATCCTCCAGCAAATGTCGAACCAGCTCAGAAAACGAGAATTACCATCAAATCAGCTTCCTCAAGTGCAGCGACTGAGAATCCGTTTGCCAAACTGACGGCTCAAGCTTCAACTGGTCCAAAGATCACCGTAAGAAAAGCAGAAGAGCGCTCAATGAAACGGACTCGGGCTGAACTAGATGAGATACAGTATCCCTCGGCACCTCTCGCAAAACGGCCGGCCACGGGTGAGAATATGGAAGATTGGGAGAATCGGGTCTTGAGTCAACTCTTTAGATTGACTTTGGATTCAGACCAGCAGGTGGATTCATCAAACCACAGACTTATTTACCTGCCCAACTTGAGATCGGAATTGGAGGAAGAGAAGCTACCTTTACGACTTACAAAGGATCGGTTGGACTCGGCTATTCTCGAAGCAGCTTCGACAATTCCCGCTCAGAAATCGGTTCTGGACTATCTTCTGCCATGCTGGAAACGTGTAATAAAGGCCCAGAGAGCGCAGAAAGTTAATGTCACTGGAAGAGATGAAGTTTTGAAAGAGGCAAGAAGATTATGTATGAGCCATTGCATATTTGCGGCGGAAATGCCAGAGCTATATGGGTTAGTGAAGCGCTGATATTCTAGAAACACTGCTGACAAGAACATCTAGCCGCGAATCCAACCCCGCCACTGACTCTCTGACTCCTCATTTCCTCTTTGAGGCCGCAGAAGACAAGGGAATATGTCCGGATTTCTTGATAGAGGCAGTTTCTCGATTCGAGGAAGACGACACTGTAAAATTGATGCTTACAAAGGCTGTTGCCGGTTTGAGTTTACAGTTGTCGAACATGACCATGAATGATAACTACAAGCCGTACATTAATGTAAGTATCATGTGAAATAATTATACCTTATACAGTATTAATTTGTTTGTTTGATAGGCTTTGAAGCAATTGGCCCAGTTTTCAAAAATTGTGGTCGCTATTGCGGCGGACCCTCTATTCCAAATGGCAACATCGGCGCCTGGGATCGAGAGTCATACACTTCTGGGACCGTTTTTCAGAATTTCTCCTCTTCAGAAGGAAGTCTGCAAGGAGTATTTTGCTTCTCCGAAGTCCATGGATAAAAGTCATATTCGGACATCACAAGAAGCTTTACGATTAACTTTACAAACACACCAGCGGGATTTACTTGATATCACCAATTCTTTTGTCAAAGCTGGCCCGGCGTCAAGAAACAAGATTCTGGATTGGTTCGCTTATATCGTGAATTCTAATCACAAGCGGAGAGCCATGCGACCAGACAAAACTCAGCTATCTTCCGATGGGTTTTTGATAAATGTTACAGTAGTTCTTGACGGTTTATGTGAGCCGTTCATGGATACCACATTTTCGAAAATTTCCAGAATTGAACCTGAATACCTGAGGAGAAACCCCCGTGTTAATATTGCGGATGAAACGAAGCTCAATGCAGATCAAGAAGCATCTGATGAGTTCTACAAGGTCCAAGTCGGAGGGGCATCAAACTTCATCTCTGAAGTCTTCTTCTTAAATTTGGCCGCGCATCACTATGGCAGCGAGGCGACAAATGGTGGTCTGAAGAGCTTGGACAAAGATATCAAATATCTCCAATCAAAACTTGAAGAATTCGAAAGAGAGCGATCCAAATATGCCAGCGTAAGATTTCTCCCAGCAAGATGCAAGAACATAATTGACATCTTTAGAATCCCGTACAAGCCGCACAGTTTGAGGCGCAGTTCAAGAAGTATAACGACATACTCATGGAGTCGATGCAAACAAAATTGGCAATCGAGGGCGTTCTTTTTGACAAATCAATGCAAACAAAATCATTGCTATTCATGAGATATGTAACTGTTTGGCTGCTCAGAGTGGCGACTCAGTCAGAATACACTCCTGACAAGACTATCCAGTAAGTCTTTAGTACTTTAGTATTGAAATGAGTATCGTTCCCAGGCTAATCACTTCTCTCAAGGCTACCTTTGAAGTCTGAACAACCTGACATCTTCAAATTTTTGCCTGAATACGTTCTTGAAGACATTGTAGGGAACTTCAATTTCATCTTCCGGTAAGCTTCTATTTCCTCGCATTTTTGTCTCTATCGATTATTGATAGGGCTTCTAGCTTCATGCCAGATGTTATGATCTCCGCTTTTGGTGATGAAATCATTGTATTTTGTATCACATTCCTAACGAATTCCGAATACATCAAAAATCCTTACCTGAAAGCTAAACTCGTTTCTCTGTTATTTCACGGGACCTGGCCAGTCTACCATCGTACAAAAGGTATCCTGGGAGACTCGCTCGTCGGTACAAAATTTGCAAACGATCATCTGCTTCATGCGTTGATAAAGTTCTACATCGGTAAGACTATCTTACACATAGCTAAGAGAACATCGCTGCTAACCCATGGGTAGAGGTCGAGTCAACGGGTGCGCATACCCAATTTTACGATAAATTCAACATTCGGTATGAGATTTTCCAGGTGATCAAATGTATCTGGACGAATGATGTCTACAAGCAAAGATTGACTCAAGAGAGCAAGTAAGTTGGGGGTTTTTGTATGCGTATGATCCAGGCTAATTTTGAACAAGGACCAACATCGAGTTCTTCTTACGATTTGTCAATCTTCTTTTGAATGATGCCACCTATGTACTGGACGAAGCCCTCACCAAATTCCCTAAGATACATGATCTCCAACGCGAACTAGACGACACTTCTCTCGACCCAGAAGCAAGAACAGCTAAAGAAGAAGAACTAAAAACTGCGGAAGGCCAGGCCCAACAGTACATGCAACTGACCAACGAAACGGTATCAATGATGAAGCTATTTACAAAAAATCTCAGCGGCTCGTTTACGATGCCAGAAATTGTTGATCGAGTAGCAGCAATGGTTGATTATACACTCGACACCATTGTCGGGCCAAAATCAGCAAACCTGAAGGTCAAAGACCCACAGAAATACCATTTCGAGCCACGAACATTACTCAGCGAGTTCATCGATATCTATTTGAATTTAGGGGTCTCGGAAGAGTTTGTTAATGCAGTTGCTCGAGATGGACGGTCTTACAAACCCGAGAATTTCGATAACGCCTCTCGTATTCTCCAACGTTACAACATGCGATCTGGGGAAGATATCGCCAAATGGGAAAATCTCAAGAAGAAGTTTGCAATAGCCAAGCAGCTCGAGGATGAGAATGAAGGAGACTTGGGTGAGATTCCAGATGAGTTCGCGGATCCTATCATGGCTATCTTGATGGAGAATCCGGTCATCCTGCCGACAAGTAAACAAACTCTAGACCGAAGTACCATTCTCACACATTTATTGAGTGATCCTCATGATCCTTTCAATCGGATGGCTTTGAAGATCGAGGATGTAGTTGAGGACTTAGAGTTGAAGGAGCGGGTTCGGGTGTGGAAGGCGGGGAGAATAGCTGCGGGGAAGATGGCGAGAAAGGATAAAATGGATGAGAGTGAAGGTTAAGCGAGTCATGAGAGGGTAGTATTGAGACTGAACTCTTATAATGAGACGATTGCAATGGGTAATTTGGCGGGTTTTCGCTTGTAAACGACTTGCACGTAGCATGCTGTTTTAGGGCGGGCGGTTGGGAATTAGGATATTCGGCGTCGTGTTATCCTTTTGCGAGCGTGCGAGCGGATATGATACGGGATGATTTGTTTTCTCCTCCTCTCCCTCTCTTATGATTCTCCTCTGGTTTCATCGCTTTGTTGCTTTGAGGGAGGATTGCATGGCATGAAATAGCAAGCAAGCGAGGAACAGGTAGAGAGTATATGTGTTTATGAATTGTATTCTTGTTTTCTACTGTGTGTTGCCAATGTTCGCGATTCGTGACTCCCATTCCCCAACATCTTACATTCTCTACTTGTCCCGACGCTTTTGAAACGATGAAAGTACGAACTCGATTTTTTCAGCTATCTGAGTCTTCTGGGGCAATTGGGTTCCTTCTTGGGGGGAGGCGGGGTATACAATCGGACGAGAGGAGTAAAGATTTTATTGTCACTTCCCTTCCACTCTACCCCCATCCCAACCCCAACTCGATGCTGCGGGATAGCTAGTACAGTAAGCCAGAAGAGTATCAACACATGCAAAGTAGTGAATTGCTTCAAGTCGCATCCAGGCCAAGCAAGTACACGAGGGAAAAACACCGGCTGTCGTCGTGCAAGCCTCCACAAAACAACCTGAAGTCCTCCCCATAGCCAATCAGCATCCCTCGCGTATCCCCCAGCCCCACAAAAGTCACAAAATCATATTGATATCTCGAAATATCACAACCACCGACATCCAAAACTGGTAACCTGCCCGCCTGGCCCAGTCAGTTAGTGTATGCTCCCATATGCACCAATTCCCACAAGCGCCATCACTACAACTGTTTCCTCCGTATACGTTAATTTGGACGCGTCCTGGCCAAGCGTCAGACCGCTCGGTCGCATGTAAATGTAAGTTCTCCCTGAATCCCAAAAAAAGCTCGTACTAATTATCTCTAGAGAAAAAAAGATTATAGCATATCTTTTTTTTTGTGGGTTTTTTTTTGTTCTTTGAAAGAATTCAACTACGAGACTCAGGTTTCTCTCGGGCCTCCCGTCGACGGCGGTGGGGGGCCCTAAAGGGCCCACCCCCCATCCTGGGGTTAAGACTGCCCAGTGATATTTGCAGACCAGATGTACGCATACCAGAGAAGAAATAAAGAAACGGGCTTTTTTTCTATTCTGGTCCTATCTATTGTATCATAGGATATCAAATCAATCATGCTTGCTGTATTAGAAGTACAAAAAAGACAATCCATTAAACTAAAACTTTTCTCAAGATTCCCTTTTTCCGGCAGAAATTAAACAAGCATCTTCTTCAATACCTCAACCTGTTCCAGGACACTCTTACGAGCTGTTCCGCCCTGTGCAGAATGCTGCTCGACACTAACCTCGTAGTCGAAACACTGGAGTACATCGGCATCGAATCTCGCATCGATGGCCTGGAAGTCTGCGTGGCTCATCTCGTTCATGGGTGTACCTGTCTTTTCCGAGTGGGCAACACACTGTCCGGAGATGTGATGGGTTTCTCGGAATGGCACGCCTTTCTTGACAAGGTAGTCTGCCAGATCTGTGGCTAACATGAATGGGTCGAGGGATGCGCGCATCTTTTCTGGGTTGATGGCTAGGGTGCTGAGAACTCCTGTGGCGATTTGGATACTGTCGGAGACCGTCTTGACATGGTCAAGCATTGGCTCGAGAGATTCTTGGAGATCTTTGTTGTATGTGCTTGGAAGGCCCTTGACGGTCATCATGAGACCGGCCATGTGGCCAAATGCTCGACCGGACTTTCCTCTCAACAACTCTAGGGAGTCTGGGTTCTTCTTCTGAGGCATGAGGGAACTTCCTGTTGAGTAGGCGTCGGCTAATCTGACGTATGCGAACTCTCCGGTGGAGTAGACGATAAGATCCTCGGCCCATCTAGAAATGTCTGTTAGAATGGATTGTAGAATCTTTCTAAAGGTAACTTACCGAGACATGTGCATCATAAGTGTGCTTCCCCATTGCATGGCCTCAACGACAAAGTCACGACTTGAAACTGCTGCCATGCTGTTCCAAATTAACCCCTCAAAACCCAGCTCCTCAGCCATTGCCTGTCTATCCAACCCAAAGCAGTTTCCAGCAAGAGCACCAGCACCCAGAGGACTCTGGTTCACACGCGAGATGACCTCTCGTAGTCGTTCAAGATCAGCGGCAAAAGCAGTTCCATACGATAACATCCAGTGACTCCATCGAATAGGCTGAGCACGTTGCAAATGTGTGTATCCCGGCATGATATGATCAATCTCCTTCTCCGCTCTGGCAGCAGTGACCTTCAAAAAGTCGACCATGTGTCCCTCAATCGTTCGCAGCTCGTCACGTAACCACAATCGCATATCGGTCGCAACTTGTTCATTTCGACTTCTGCCCGTATGCAACTTTCCTCCAATGTCCTTGCCAATGATTTCTCCCAGTCGTCGCTCGTTAGCGGTGTGGATATCCTCGTCAACGCCTGGAATGATCTTGAATGTGCCGGAGACCCATTCTTCCTTGACCTTCTCGAAGCCGGACTCAATTGCTGCGAATTCTTCAGGAGTGAGAATGCCGGCTTTCTGGTTTGCGCGTGCCCATGCGATGCTTCCTGCGATGTCTTGAGCGTATAGGTGTCGGTCGAAGTAGATTGACTCATTATATGCAACCATCAAAGGGTCAAGACCGCCTGTGAATGTCAGCTAGTACTCATTGATTGTTTGTTTACAAATGCATTAGACGCACCAGTAAATCGGCCTCCCCACAACATGTTCTCTGCTTTCTTTTGCTCGGCCATGATTGATGTATACAGAAGTGCTGTAACTCTGGAGGTTGAGATGAATTTAGAGGTATTGGGTTTGTTGGGGTCTATTTTGGGGTGTGTCTTGGAAAGAATGGCTGTTGTAATGGCGGGGTACTATGAGGCATTGAATCATCCTTGGAAAAGAATTTTTGCAGGGATGACGATAACCTCAATGGAAGTTCCGATGGCGGGGTGAATGCAGGTGCCGGTGCCATCGTAAAGCTACAAGCACGGCAGCAGTATCAACCATAGTAGAAAGCTCTTCGGAATTCTTTCAAAACCTAAGAGCCATTAGCAATCTACACGATGAGATTCAAACCACAAGAGGTACAGTACTTGTCTATTTAGTTCTAATGTCACTCTAGTGTAAGTATTGAGCTATGGGTGGCACGGGTATATGTCGGCCTCGGCCTAAACTTCGGAGCGTCGTCTCAACTCTGGACCTACACCTGATTCAAAGCGACAGCACATCCTCTCTTGCAACGTCAAGGCTTGTACCAAATCCTGATATCTACTACCCAAAGAAGCGTCTGTGAAATAAAGCATAGCCCTTGGGATTATTGCCATGGCGACTTCCTTTCCCAACATTTATACTCACCGCAAGGTCGCGGACACGGCTTCTAAACCTTGCGAGATATGTTTCAAGCCCAGTAGTAGTGTACTTGTTGCACCCGATAACAAGGTAGGTCTCAGTGATTTGGAAGAGTTTACCATGCTCGGTTCTGATGGGTTTGAAGGATTTCTTCTTCGTCTGTCCTGGCCATATCAAGGACCGAAAGTTTTGCACTCCCATCATCGACGAAGGAGCCGTTGCGGCAAAGAAGAAGAAAGAGATGGAAGCCGAAGTGGAACGAGTGAAGAAAGAATTTGAAGAGAAGCAGAAGAGGAAGAAGGAGAAGGAAAAAGAGAAAGACAAAAAGGACAAGGACAAGAAAGACAATGAGAAGGAGGAAACCAAGTCCGAGGAAAAGGTACGGTAATACCTCGAATTCAGAGACACGTTTTGACTTACGTCTACACAGAAGAAGCCTGAAGAGACTATAACTCCAGAAGAAGAGCCACGAGTCTTTGCTCTTGCAAAGATGTTCTACCAACAACGGATCGAAAAGAAGAGAAATGCCGAAATCGCCAAGCGACACCGTGAGCGCTTGCAAAATCCAAATCTGTTTCCACAAGTACCGAAAGGACTACCTTGATACGGCGTACACCTATCTCCTTTAGGACTCTTATCGTCCAGGAAACTTTCTGTGTCACGTGTAGAAATCAACAACCCATTAGACCAGGATCACATCCGAGGGCTCGCATTTCAAGATCAATGACAAATGAGCATCTTGACGATTAATACGTCGATATTGGAAGAGTTTCTGCGTATCTGTTGTGAGATACAGTCAGCCACGGGAACAGAAACATCGTTTCTCAAAAGTCGATTATGCGGGCAGACGCAAAGGATTCCTCTTCAGTCAAGCTATCCGCAGCGGAACTCTAGTACATGTTGTCAGTCTGAGCACGTCACAGTTCTGGATTGCTATCAATTCGTTTGTTGACATGGCCGTTCTAAGATGATGACTGCAGATTACCCTTGACCTTGATGATCGACCCGTTCCTCGCCCGGCGGCTTATCCCTTGACTTTGCGATTCTACACTCTGTTTGGCTGGCACTTGGTCGGGCCTCTCAAAAACCTGGAACTTTGATCATCAATCGATTCGCCTGGCATATATTAAGGCTGAACTTGCATGGTTATTCAAGTTGGCCGACTACCACATAACCCGATGTGTCACAAGGACACAGGCATAATTATACCATGACTTTTCAATGACCTGTCACAACCTCTCTTGTCACATTTGTATCTCCAGCCTTACGGAGAATGTCTTACTGCACACCCGCAAGCTCGGTCATACTGCTTAGTGCTTACATCTCAACCTTTCCACCTCCAGGAACTTGGCCCACACGTTCTGATTCGAGATTGTGAAGCCGCTGCTGAATATGGAAGGCACTCTGTCAGAATACCTGCATGGTACGTCCATTGTGAGAAGGCCCCCATTTGCCAACCACCGAATAACCACCCCAAACAGTCGCGGTGACCTGATCGGTACATACTATCAAGTTGCACAGCCAAAATGAAGCCACTTTCACCATACGGTGTCACAGTAAATGCCTTACAATGTGCATAGTTAGGCAGATCTGATATTGTATCTATCAATCAGCTTACAGCACGTAACCGCTATATGCCCTACCCCGCAAAATTCTCGCACCCTCAATATGCTATGCAGTCATACACCTTCAAGTCATTTCCCGTAGGCGCCTGAATATTCATAGGCTCATCACAATTACCTTGCACTCGCATTTCTTCAAGACGGATGATGGAATGGTCTAAAATTAAATGTCTTACTTTTTCACGAGGGGACCTATAAAACCGCCCTTTTCGGTGACTACATATGTACCCATCCTCATCTGCAGTATTGCCGATGTACTTTGAAAGGGCGTGGGGTTTCTTCAGCGTGGTATTGGGGTTGGAAATTGGCTACCTTGTTGTCTTGCTTGGCCTGGTCTGGCCTCCAGGTTATTCTGGGGTATGCAAGGGCATTTTGTTCAGCTGGGGCCTGGCCGGTAGTTTTGGGATGGTAAACTATTTTGCTTGGATGTAGTGCCGCTTGTGCCGTAGTAAACTATTTCCTTGTCACTCATTCTTTCTCTCTTTCCAAATGAATATGACTTTGAGAAGTGGAAAAACTTAACCTTATGGGGCAAGTATTGTACTCACGCCTCGGGAGTTCGGCTAACGAGTTTTGATTGCTTGAATTGATTGGAATAACAAGACATGTAGTTACTGAACAAGGATGGGATAGGATAGCAAGTAAGATATAGTACTTATTGCCATATATTCTTGTTATTTACCGTGAGTGCTACAGTAATACGTCGTCTAACAAGTTACAGTACCATGAACGTAAGATCCCGGTGCCTTCTGGAGAAAAGAGAACCAGAGAAATTTAACCCTTTTACCTATTTCATGAGCGTAAGGCTTTTACGAGATGTTTTTTGTTTCTCATGTAATAGATTTGTTAGAGATCTTTTGGGGGTAAGGTACATATTACTCCGTAACAGTTTTTGGAATCTTTGGGGTTGGGATTCAAGAGTGTGCTGGTACTGTACTTATACGGTACTATAAGGAGGGGAGCGAGTTGGCGAAAAGGAGTGGAGAAGGCTGGGAATATGCTGGTTAGATGGGAATTCGGTGGTAGTTGATTATATATGTGGTACTCGTAGACGGGTATCAGGGAATTGAAGGGAAGGGAAGTGATTGATTCCTGATAATATCTTATTGAGGACTTTTAGAAATCTTAGGTAGAAGGTGTTGTTGATTATAAATAGGGATAGGTTATAGATGTAACTTTGTGGGAAGAGTAACTATCTTGTTTTTTCCTCTTGGAAAGATTGTATTACGGTGTTATCTATACTCTTATTTGGGGGTATTATTTGGAATCATGGATTATTTCTACCTTATAGTAAGTACGAGTATAACTTCTACTCCTTTAGTTTAGAATCATGTCGGAGTGTTATATCTCGTGCGTTTTTTGTTTATATACTTGGTTTATTGTCTGCTTCTCTTTTTTGTTCTTGTGCTAAGGGTAGATACTGTTGAATGCCTAGTTTTACTGTGAAGCGAATCAAGCGGAAAATAACGATGCTGTTTGGTGGTAGATATGATGGCGGGTTAGAGATGGTGGTTATGTTGGAGATATGGTAGGCGGTGGTTCTTGTAGGCTACTGGTGTCTTGAGATGTTAATCTCACTATTCTTCTCTTCATTAGAAGGTCGTTATTAAATGGTTTTAGCGATCGAAATCCGGAAAACGAGTCGGTAGAGTTTTTTGAAATTCTATTCTGTATGGAGCATTTTAGAGACAGTCCTATATAGAACGGAAATTTCTAGAGAAGGGGCCTCTGGAATCATAGAATTTTGTAGGATGTATATACATATAGCTTTTCAACTAACATAGAGGCTTAGTTTAAAGTGAAAAATAGTAATAAGTATGTGAAAAGTGACTCGATTAGTTATTTATTCCTAGCTAGCGTAAAACGCTTTGATGCCTACTAGAGTAGTCCACTCCTAATTATAAATAGTCGGGCTAGTATAGACTAATTCTAAGCTTTCTATTTGTCAAACGACGTAATATCTACCAAATCAGTTATATAGTTAATTCCATTCTGGTATTCCCTAAATCCCCCTTGGGATATCACTTTCCAGGCCCCCCTCCCCTCCCCACGTTATGGAAAGTAACTCTAAATGCCGAACACGAAAGGTATCTGAAGTTCTTTTGATGGTGTGAGATGAGAGGTAACCGGGCTAGTAATAAGATCAGGCATGGATTTCATTATACAGAAATTAGGGTGATTTATAACTAATTTATGTTCGGATTTCTAGGAGATTACATAATTGTTTGTTTTTCAAGTTCCTGAGATTTAAATAAGTGAGGGTCTTTTACAAATATTATGTTTCAGAAGGTTACCTGCGATCTTTCTGGAAGATCTAGATTATTTTTCGTGATTACTTCGGCCTATTTCAAGACAATTACTCAAGCTGTCCCAGCATTTTCGTTTCATTGTTTTAATGACTCGAAAGACCTAGAATTATTAAATAGTTCAAAGTGAGTTGCGCTGATAAGAAACTTCCACCCCTTCCATGTCCACTAGAAGCCCTCTAATAGTCCTTAGCGAGAATCCAGAATGGTGTAGCTAGCCACCGACTACGCCTCATCTGTACCTCCCCAATCTCGCAACCCACTCTAATCCACACTTCCCCACATCGCATCGCATCCCAACTCCACTTTCTTTTTTGGACGAGCTCGTATTTTGGCCTATCAAATATCTGTGGCATCCTTCCCGAAACAATCTAGAACCTCTTACATGCACTGCCACAATATAGTTCTCCGACAGATATCTTGGTGGACATTAAGCGGGAGATGTACGGAGCAGAAGCCTTGATAACTAGGTCCTGCAGCGCGCTAGCCCGTTTTATAGCCTAGTGATAGATACCTTCAAAGAATTAGTTTGGTTCATAGAAGTGGATTAAAAGGGTATTTGCCTTTCATATGGGGTCATTTAAGACACTTCTTTCTGTTCCGTTAGTATAACTCGCTAACTTATAGGGATTATCATACAAATATAGATCAATGGGATTAGGCAGTACACAAATATTAGAATATAGAGTCTGATAACTCAAGAGGGAATTTGTTGAATTCTATGCTGCTATAAACCGCTCAAGGCAAATCAACCTGTGTAACGGACAAGGTCTCAATCTTAAAACTACCAGTCTTGCTAATGTCGTCACGGCTCTCACCCATATATTTCCAAGCAAGTTTACTATATATCATATCAGCACCTACTCGCAGAAACCGATTAACTTGGAAACTCACGGATCTTTTCGGTCAACGAACTGGTAGGTAACTAGGATAGCGAAACCACCAGCTAGTCGCTCGGGTTTCAACAGCTCCGCAGACACATTTCTTCTTCCATCTTCCTCCAACATATCTTGTATCGTACATGGGGAGCTTTCCCCATTTACTCCCGCTGCACTTATACAGCTGGCGCTAAATTCGGGGATCTCAATAGAAGCTGCGGTGGCAGCTCCTGCGATGTCGAAGTGGGAGATTGGTGTTAGTGTTTATGAAGAGTGCTTGAATGGTGTTTGGAGTGAATTGAAGGCTGGGTAGTTCACATATATATATATATTCGGGCCGCTCTTGTAAGAGGCGATTGAAGAGACTATATTTGGTACGATTCAAGGGGAGAGTTTGCAGGCAAGACGTTGTGAAACGGAAGATCGCGGTGCTTGGCGACCTGAGGTCGTTTTACACGGGCCATGTTAACAAGTTGGATACCGCCAAAACTCAGTAGGAAGGGTGAAATTGTAGATGCGTTGTAAGGCATCTCAGTGATATTCGGTATAGTAAGCAAGGATCAAGTAAAAGAAAAATAGGTACTCGCTAGACCTAATTTGGAATGTTTTTATTAATATTATTATTACTGTATCATTATTATTAATTTCTATAAGTTATATATAAACGCTAGCTGATTAAATAGCCCAGATTAAATTTTATTCAAAAAACGTTCTTTAATACGATATCTCGAAATAGTTTTAATTTATTAAACTCGAGTCTTTTGTCATTCCTGCTGCACAGCGTGGAAAATGATTTGATTTGATTCGACTAATAGTACTTGATCAAATCAAATCAGATTAATATATCTACAAGTATTAATCAAATCAAATCGCCAAGTAATCTGATTAATTTAGATCAATTCACATTAATACGGAGTCCGGTCGGTCCGAGACTCGGGCGGGTGGTCCGAGACAGCCGTAATGGATCCGGCAGCTCGGGCAGCTCAGATTATGCCCGCCCGAGCCGCCCTCCCTCCGTATAAGTGAGTTAATAAAATATTTATATATTAAAACTCTGCACCTATCAGTTATATAGACTCTTCCCTTGCTTTATTAGTAGAAGGCTTATAGCACTAGTTATATTACAACTAATATAGGGGATCACGTATAATCATATATGAGTACGGAGCCTTCCTTGAATTATCTTACAGGTTACATGTAAAACAGGAATAGGATAATAAAAGAGATTCTTAAGGCTATACTAGTAATAAGCCGAAAAAGCTAGGGGTTCTTTGTAAAGACTCTTTTGTACCTAGGTAGGAATGTGCTTGTTCGGATATGAAATTACTGTACTGCCTTACAAGGCATGAACAGTTCCACCCTTTCTATTGAGTTTTGACGAGAATAAGAATATCAATGCCACGTCATATCGGCCCATACGTAACTTCAAATTGTAATTCGCAAAGGACTTTAAGTAATATGTATCTTGCACAAGCATCAATACAATTTCCTAGACTGCGATTATCTGGCGGCGAGAGCTCCAAATTTATAAGTACCTGAAAAATAGAGTTCTCCAAACCTGGGGCGATCCACCCATTTCAAACTCTACAAACTCCATCCGAACCAGCATTGATCTTTGCCGTAGAAATCCTTCTTGAGACAGATGATGTTGATTTAGAGAAGAAATCAAATACAGAATTCGAGGCAAACCTCTGGACTTTCTTATAAAAGGGGAAAAAGAGAAACTAAACCACACAAACTAAACTTGCAAAGGGCCACCAATGTACCAATGCTACTTTCTGATAGTCTTCCGAAAAGGCCGTGAGATCTCTCGACAAGCTCCTCCATAGTGTGCCAAAGAGAGATATTACTTAGTCTACTTCAATGAATAATAACATAAGAGAACTGAAGTATATTGTAGTGGCTATTAGGGTTGTTCAATTATGTCTAATTTAAATAAATTATCTATAACTACTAATTAGGCCGATTATCTGATAATAAATTATCTATAAATTATGTGCATCATGTGACCTCGGGGCGGAAAATCCAGATTGACTTTGACCTTCATACTCTTCATCTTTCCATTGTCGAATACCATATCGTAGTCCCTCTCGTCGTCGTCGAAATCCGCCGTGAAAGTCAATTTGCAGACGTTGATTGGGTCGAATTTCTCCAGTACGATATCCACCACATGTTTACGATTGATCCCCTGAAATTGCGGTAGGAGTTGCTTTTGTCCATCTGACAGCTTACCTTCATCGTCATCATCTGCCACCTGAACTCCGCCCACTCCCTGTGCTTGCACCGGTCCTGCCGCAGCACCAAATGCTCCTCCTGGGTTGTTTGCAATAGCCGTAATCCTTGCTTGCGATTCCTGTCTCAACAACGCCATTTTTATGTTGTGTTCCTCCAATCGTACCTCCAATGATAATTGACCTTGCAACACCTGTTGAATTGGTGGTAATTGGTGGTAATTGGTTGTTTTGTTGTTGTCTTTGTCGTGGTGGTGGAAGTGAGCCACCCGAACCGGAGCCCGTTTGTTGTGGAGCTGACATCTTGTCGAATTATTAATTAAACGTTGAATGAGAGTATGCTTTTAATTTTGACGAAAGGACCAGCCTTTTAATAAGAAACTGCTCTTTGCGAGCTTGCAACAACAATCAGTGGATTTGTTGTTGTGGACAAGTGATTGAATGGATGAAACGATATATGCAAGCTTGCTTAGTCACCCTCGATACGCAAAACACATCCATAAATTATGTGCATCATATGACCTCGGGGCGGAAAATCCAGATAACCCGGCCACAAACTAATATTTGTCTATATAAACTAGCGCGTATTAGATAGTAACTCGGCGTTCCTTAACTTCTCTAAGGTCTCTAAAGAGAAGCTCGTCGATCTCGAAAGATCGCTTATATAAGTTAAGATCAACGACTTAAGCAAGGACGAGGAAGATTAGGCTCTGTTTACTCAGAATATTGTGCCTTAACATCGTCCCACTTTTCCACGAAAGTGGCCGTAAAAGGACGTCTCCGAGCGCGTTATGCTTCCTCTAGCCTAGTGCAAAATTCGTCCACGTACAGACACTATAGATCACATATTTGATCTACTCGATATTGCCCCGCTATATCGCTTTAGTAGTAAAAGTGATATAGACCTCTAGAGGTCTTTTTCACCTTCTATATCGTGCCAAGACAGTCCACGAACGACTGTTTATGCCCCTATTCCTATACTTTTACTGTCTCTAGGGTTGTCTTCTACTAAGCCGGCTCTAATATAATTACTTAATTTTTATTTAATTTTTATTATTTAATATTAGAGACTAAAGCGACAATTCCCAATCGAATAGACTAGCTTATATAAACGTGCTATAAAGTCCTAGGGTTTTAATACCCTAACAGAGGGTATAAGAACCTGTAGCTATAGCGTACGTGGCCTGAAGTAGAGTTCTCGCGTAAGCCTCGCTTGACCCTCGAGTGTTATAGATCTAAGTGTCACGAATCACGTGTTCACGTGATACCTGTCATAATAAGAGGAGCAACCCTCGACAGGCACATCCAGGTTTCTTATAGCAAATAGGGATGCTTAGACTAGCTAAGCGATCCAAGGATTTCTCGTGTATGTAGTCACGGGATCAATCGCATCGCCTGTATCGACAGTCGATGTTAGCGATAGGAGGTCGACTACATCGACAGGTGATGTAGGCGATGTAGAGAGAACGAAGGTTCTATATAAGACTGGCACGTCTGCCATTAGATAGGAGCTTCGTGCTCAACTTAGTTATCAATCTTATCATATTAGTTTGACATCTTTGATACAAGTAACGAGTTCACTTCCAAGTGAACAACCCGATAGTCTTCTTCTTATCATAGCATACCAACCAGCGAACACCCAGCCAAGTTTAGTTAGCCAGTTTGAGTATTTGTTATGGTGGGGATCAAGGAATAGATTGTTCGCAAGGAGGGAAGAGAGACGCTCTTCGCACTCCTTAGGTATTTGTCTATCTACGGAAGGGTACACCCGCAACTTCGCTAAGCGAACCCTTATTCACTAAATCAAAAACTGTCACAGGGTGCTGCGGTGTGGCTGGCTGGCTGGCTGCTGAATGTATGTGTGGAAATTTGGAGGGAATAGTGTATTCCTGATCACCGATTTTGTAGATGGTAAATGGTGTCGTCTGTTACTAGATTTAGTGGTCAATCTGGTGTTTACTACCGGTACGATTGTAGGATTTGTTAATGATATCATGACGAATGCAAGGTTGAATGTACACATTGCCTCCGACAATTTGCTGGCGGCAAATGATTAGAAATGGATGAGATATTCATGCTTGTGAAAGCTTTGCTAGACCTTGGCATATTATGAAGCGCGTTAGGATGTTTTGCTGGTTTTAGAAATGATAATAAGCTGTTTATATTTTCAGTATATCCTAATTATAAGTATCAGTCAGGCTTTTGGACTTTAGTAAGAAAGCTCTGCGCGCTCTCATCATGGAGAGATTAGTGCATTGCGAGGCATCGAAATATCCTCAAGATAGATGAGTAATACGTCCTCGGCTTCTATTTATGAGAAGGTGTTATAAATTACCCGCCTGTGAATGGTTCTTGAGATGTCAAGAAATGCAGCTAAGATCCACCAAACGTAAGTCACTTTAAGAAGTCTAACAGCGGAATATTTCGGCGCACTCAGCAATAGATAGAAATTGTGATCTAGGATCGGGATTGAGATCAAATAAAATGTACGAATTCTCAGCTCAGCCTCTTCTTTGTGTATTGATGATGTGAGATTTACATCTACCGGATCACCCGCGCAAGACCGTGGCGTTGAAAGGGACTTTACAATAACACCATCTCGTCTCTCTGTCAGCAAGGTAACCTTAGGTACCACAACGGCACGGTGATACACAATACCCCCTTCCTCTCGGCCTTGGGTTTGAAGAACCCTTCACTTCCCATTCCGCGATTTCGCTTAGCCAGATCGGCGAGATGAACGGGCCGTGAGACCCAGGACAAAAAGGGTCAGCACGGAAAGGAATCATACCCGGAACATCGATGTATCCTATCATAGATTCTCGCTAGGTTTACTACCCTGGGCAGTTTTCATCCCTGGTGGAAGTCGAATGCTTAAACCCCTCATCTTCGCAACCACATTTGCATCATCTGAAGCTCCCCTTGCCATAGCAGTCGATGCCTGAGGACCAATACCTACGTCTTCTACCTTGCCTTTGTATATCACTTCGTCGACTCTCCCTTTCTGCAATGAGAATGCCGGACATACCCAAACGCCGCAACTGCATCTCATTCCTTGCCATGCGAAACGCCCGACTTGAGCAAGGCATTTGAGATTAGGGCATTCAAGCCGGCCAGTGAGTGGACCGGGTCCGCCATCCTCTTCGATTTCTGGGGAGAGTGTTGGACGCATCCATGACAGCGGGTGGAGGAAGTGATGTGTGCAGGTTGTTGACGCAGAATTTTTTGTTGATCCAGAGGGCGTGGTTGAGGCCGGGGCATGGGGAATCAGGTATGTAGTTGTTGCCAAAGTGCGTCTAAAAGACTTAGTACCCATTTGTCTCTCTTTGTGAGAAATGTATAGTGATTCAAAAACAAGACATACCGACATCTTTTACACCGCAGCTCCTTTTCACTGCCTTCGGTATTCTCCTGCTTCACCTCGTCCTCGAACCTGATCATTTCTGGAGCAGAGCCAGCGGCAAGTGCCTCATCTACCGTTCTCCTATACAACCAGCGTTGATATTTTGGGTGCTCATCAATGTCTCTTGGGCAGCCCATCTCTTTGTACAATTCCAACTGTGCCATGAAACCGTCATTGGGCTCAGCTAAGGGTCGTTCTTGCCTGATCATTTCCAGGGCGGAATCAACTGAGAGCTGAGGATACTTCCGAAGTAGAAATGCGATCGTTACCGTAACACTTCGAGACTTTCCCATAGCACTAATATAGTTAATTAAACTGAAAACTTGAGACGGAGGAAAGTACTCTTGAGACCCATCCTGCATCTGAGAAAACACCCAATGGGGAGAATCTGCAATCAGAAAGCAATTACAATATGTATCTTCTCTCATGCCCTGAGTAGTAATTAAAACAATGTAACTTACCAATGAATAAGGACCCTACCCGGAGCTCCATCTTTCCCTCCATTCGTCAAGGCTTCCTCAATCCACTTGCCCGTCTTTTCAAACTCACCAAGCAAATTTTCGTCCTCGACATCCAAAGCATCGATCTGAAGATGCTTGTATTTGTCCAAGTCTTGGTAGTCCTTGAAGTCATAGACTAAAATTGAGAGAATATGTGTGATACCACAGCGCTCAAGGGCTGACTTACGACGAAGGGCAAAGACCCTGTGGGGATTGTTAGCGCAGTGTCCTCCTGAGTGTGATCAATATTGATTAAATCATGAACGTCGATGTTCACCACGTCAAACTTTTTGATAGAAATCTGACTAGAAGGCCATGCCGAAAGGGGACACGATCGAGCTCGTACGAGCTAAAGAAATGACACTAATAAAACTCAGAAAATAGAAGAACGAAACCTGGAAGAGGCGTTGTGCTATCACGTGTGGATTCACACCTGAAGCTTAGATAGAAATGCAAACAGAGGAGATTGGAGAAGAGAATGCAGAACAGCAAAACACCGACAAGACATACCCACTAACGTAGATCTCGTCATCCCCAGGCACGCGAGAAAGCGCCATCTCGGGTTGATAATCCAGCTTTTCTTTGCTTGAGAGATATGTTCCCTCACACAAATTTTATATTTGTTTTCCTCACTAACCGCTCGGCCAGTGACTCGGTTTCGCGCGCTGAACGATCCAACTCGCCGTCACCTTCGCAACCGAGTCCTAGGAATGAAGAATAGGGGCTCGCGAAGAGGTTGATCAGGTGATTGATGGCCGTTCTATGCGCACAAAATGGAATTGGGATTGTGCTGGTGGAGGTGCCTGTGCTTGCAAAAAATAAGTGTGCAGGGCAGGTTCGGCGCAAGCAAGCGAAGGTCAAGCCTCGGCCAAGCTTTCCGAAGCGGTAAGGCGACAATTCTCAAGTCCTGATTGGCGGCGTCGTCTTTCTCCCTCAGCACTTCTTGGTTTTTGGTACTCCGTTCTCCGTACAGTGAAAGTGGAAAAGTTGGGGCTTAACCGCAGACCAAGTTAAGGCCCGTTCTCGTTGTTAGTCTCTTGGACTTCCGTCATTTGGCTTAGGCGCCTCTTCCATTTGCTGAGCCATGTCCCCTCGGTTTATGGCCTTGCACCCTCCCACCCTGAGCTTGAACACAGCCACCTTCAAGAGCCGCCTAGTTCACCAATCCAGTCACGATGTTGGAAGTGCAAGGTTCAATTGGTCACACCTCCTCGTCAACAATGCCGACCCGAGGAAGAGATCGTCTCGGAATGAACGAAATGATGGCCACGAAGATCAAAGGTGCAATGGGAATCCCTTCCAAAAGGGTATAAGTTGCGAAAAAGAATGACGAGGGACAAGTTGGGTAACAGTAACTCCAGCTGATTTAGCTTCCGCGCCGCACTGGTGCAGTATCAATTCCGGACTCGTGGGCGCTGGGCTGAGAAGCAAGGTTACAGGAAGGCAAGGGACGGAGCCCTAACCGCAATGATTAAATCCCCGATGGATCGGCTGGAACTTCGCTCCTCCGCGAAAAGTCGGCGATATAGATTGCGAAAGAACTGATTGAGGTTGGAGGGCTTCTTCGACATTCCCTCGTTCGAGTCATTATCCGACAACAGAGGGGCGTTGACTACTTCCAGAGTAGGAGTGGGATATGTCCGAAATGAAGTTGCATCTATATGTATCACCGGCAGTTTCGGTGCTCAACATGAGAATTATTCCGAGTGCATTCCGACAAGATGAATGAGGCTATCAATGCATTGGGTATCGTACTGTATCAGTCGAGCGGGACCTGGATAATAAGGCCTGTCGATGTCACTGTAACGTTCAATAAAGCACTGGATGACTTGCATCGTTTATTCGTGGGGGCCAACTTCAACTTGATGCGTTGAGGCTGAAGTAAGTATCGATTATCAAAAGCATGCTATTTATCGAAATAGAGTCCAGACCGTATTTCAGGTATTGATTGCTACGTCCCAAAAAAGATATTCTGTCTTGGATATTATATTCTTGCATCGATTTGGGGGCAAGAAAACACATATTTCCTATTTGGTACTGTAAGATTTTGTTTACCTGGCCAACCTGGATCTTCTAAAAATGTACGATTACTTTATTGTCTTTGAAAGTTCGCAAGCTTAGTTATCCTAAACAATCAAACCAATGAAAACCCCCAAAAGAAGTTCCAACCAATCATGTTAGATCGGCAACTTGCTCAGCTAATTCAAGTATGCCGGGCAATTAAAGGAATAAAAATGTATAAATGAAGATACGACGATAGTAGGGCCATTTACTTCCCTTGCTTTTGGTCCAAAAAAACGAGTATTTACTGCCGCTTTTACCAACCAACGCGGGACAGGAAATAGCCAGGCAACATTTCTCGTATTTTTCGTCATCTACCGTTGATAGGGCGTGAATGTCTTAGAAAAACGACATGGTTAAAGATCAAAGTAGTACCAGATTTTCTTTTTATGAAGCGGTTTCCAATGCTCACCACCACTCACTTGTGGCGTTCTAAAATTCTCCGTCCACCCCATAACCCAAGATTGCGAATGCCGAGGCCAACCTCGGTATTCTTCTATCAAGACGAGACCATCTTTCAGCTTGAAAGTCTCATGTTACAACGCATGTAGTTGTAGTGCGTAATATGCAATTACTATTGGTCAAGAGATACCCTATAGGACACTCGGAAGCTTGACCCGCGGTTAGTTTCTCCTGGCAAGGCAATTAAGGCTTCCAGATCGATCGACATTACGGCAATACAAACGAGAGGCGGGATCTAAGCCTCCAAAGTTAATTCGGCTGCATGGAAATCGTTACCAAAACCAGAAAGCAAGTAGGCGCCTTGGGGGCGATGACTGGACCTGGGGGGGTCTTGACGGATAACTTACCTGTAGAAGTTATATTGAGGCAGCTGCACCTCGTGTGCCAGACAATGAGGTTATCAAGGTCCCGAACTCATGATTCGTCGAGTACAGAATTTCCTTTCAGCTCTGGAGTTCTTGGGGGATTCGCCTCTCTACCGGTGAGAGTGAACGATCCATACTACGCGGTCACAGTACCCAAGACTGATGTCCGGCCTGGAGCCTGACGGTTTGATATCTCACATTTTCAGACTTGGGGTTAGAGCAACAACCAGGTTCCTCGGCGTGCGTGGCTACCACTCGGTGTCATTTAGCCTCGTGGCCCTCCCGTGGTAAAAGAAAGCGAAACCTGCCTCAGAGTNCCCCCCATGAACTGAAAAGATCATCGCCGTGGTGGGTGTCGTCCTCCCTCTAATTACCAGCGGTGGGGGTTGCATCGGCAGTTTTCTTTTTGGCTAATAACGAGCTTTGGAAGGATCCATCGACTCCTGAGCCCTACAAGGCACATGTGGCCCCCCTGTTTTGATTTGGTGGAAGATCCAAAGAACATGCATATGGTAGGTGACAAGTGTCAGCCTCTCCTTCCAAAATGCTTCCAAGGTCTTTTACCAGCTGCCGTTTCTTGAGAACCATACATCTGCCTTCCGATATCAAATGCCTTACAAGCCGCCCAGCTTAGCCAGGGTGGGAGGGGAGAGTTGTATTGGGTTGGGGTCTCTGAAAACTTGAGACTCTCGGTCTGAAGGGTCAAAATGCAGAGGCAAAATTGGTACTGAGATTGGAATTGATTGCAGCTGGAAGAAACGTGGTCGCGCTACCGATGCCAGTCCCGCTGTCCGTAGGTATAGTACAGTACAGTACTGTACGAGTACGTCGTAGGGCTACAGTGCACTAATAAGCGACAACCTTCCATTCCGTCCCATACCTACTGGTAGCATTGCCTCACGGTTGATGTCAAAGGTGGTGGTTGCGTTAAAGTTTTGTTTTTCAGCTTTTCCTGGGGGGGGACTCTATTCTGGGAGCTGAAGTCCCCAGCTTTTTGGCTCCGTGGCGCATGCGCTATTAATCATCCATCGGGTTGCATCTGGAGAGCAGAGATCCCCCCAAACTCTATTGTCATTTACGACGTCGTAAGGACCATGCCACGTACCGTATTTTACAGTACCTGCACTTAAGTAAGGCAAAGTTGGTCGAAGTTTGAACCGGTTTCATGCCACCCCCAAGTGTCGATGCTCAATACCCTGCTTTATGATGCCACAGGAGGTACATGTACTAGTACCCGCGTGCTTGAGTAAAGGGTCTGGACAGCTCGGGTCTCCCCCCCCCTTGTCACTTTCTGATATACCTCCAAATGAATTGGACAATTCAATTGGCTTAGAGGACTATATTGTGGAGTTATACCCTGCCTATAACAAGTCGTATACAGGGGAGGGGGCGACACGAGCTGTCCAGACCCTTTACATGGTCGAAACCTCTCTGAAGAAGCTTACTGTACGACCACTATTTTTCCGGCTGCCTGTGCGTGTTGATACTTGCGGCCAACCTCCCCCCTCGACAAAATTGGACCAACCACTGATACTAATCTATTGACCGTAAGGCGATGTGTTTTTTGGTGAAGGCGGTGACGGACACCACCCTGTACGGCAGACTTGCTGCAACATGAGACCCCACACTTTTCTTGCGCGTGTGGTAACCATTGCCAGCCAGGTGTGGTTGCAGCCCGGCTTTCCTTGGGCATGTTGGCTCGGAACCAACAGGTGCCAACGGTCCCCTTTTTTGCAAAAAGAAACGTTTCTAGAGGTGCTCCACGAATGCTTCTAGAAAATGTGACGTTCTATAGCTTCTGGAGGGGCAGAGAACCATTCCGCTGACAAAATATCAAAAAACATCTGACGATTCAGAGAACGAAACAGAGTGTGGAGTGCGGTTAATCTTTTGTAAACAGGGAAAGCAAATACTTCGTAGAAGCGTGATCTGCAGACTGCAGGGCAACTCTTTGGAGTGGACTTAATATCTGCAGTATTTCGGATGAGGTCCTACTCGTTAGAGTTTTGGCCCAGAAACCCTTACATGATGCTGTGCTCTCATGATGTACTGTAGGCAAGGCAGCAGAACAAGGCAACCAAAACGTATGCACCCTTCCGATGAGCAGCAGCCTCTCAAGTTGCAGCCCAAACTTGACAATGTAAGTTCCAAAGTCCTCCAATTTGGGCATCCATGATGGTCACTCGCCGTGCTCTCCAACCAATCAATGAAGAGCTGGTTAAAAAGGTCCTTTAAATCCCGAGGGCGTGTCGCTGGTCCTGCTGACGGCATGATCAAGACTGGAAATCTGAAATTGCTCACACAACTTGTCGATCAGCTTGCTACAGTAGATTAAAAAAAACTCTTACTTTCATCCGTTTCTTGCTTAGCCACCTCCTTTTCTGGTCAGACAACCTCAAATCCTCTCAACATATTGATTATACAGGTTTGACAAAGCAAATTGGTAGTGGTGGGCACCGTTAGACTTGCATCTCGATCAAAAGAGGTGGTTGGGGCTAAGCGAAGACTCGATGGCCAATCCTATGCCGCGGCAGAAACGGTGGAGGGTGGTAATGTTCCATTTATCAGCGTACACATGAATAACTCTTATATTACGATGTTGTATGCATGCAGCATATGAAAGAAATTTCGACCAGACAATTTTTAATACCGAAATCACTTTGAATGAAACAAACAACGTTTTTCCAAACTTCCTACATCTTCTCGTATAATTTTATTATTCATGTATATCACAGAGTAAAGATGTTTCGCATTTGACAAGCAAAGACACAGGATTCTTTTCTATTAGCGTGACTTGAGTCAAAAGTTTTAACTCTTCTATTTATCTAGAAGAGTCGAAGTGATCAACCTTGAAATTGTCCTGGAAACCTAGGTTAATCACTTACATTTGATTTTGAGAAGAGGGGCAACGAGGAAATGATTTACTTCGGATTTTTCGCCGGTTGCGAGACTGTGTGATATGGCGCCTGAGTTCATGCACCAAGTCGAATATGGAGCTACCCTGTACCAAGGTACTATGCCATGCTATAGTTTTTTCCTTTGGACTGTGGAGTGATTGTGCTAGGGATCGCGCAAGTTCGTGGTCACCAGCCCACCTTTGAACTTTGCAAGGCTGCATATATATATGCAGGGCCCCTCGAAGACTCCTCATGATTACCCCATTGAGAAGGTATCTACTGTAGAGCTTGATATCAAGTTCCTAAGGAAGAAGCTAAGCATGGATGTACAAGCAGAAGTGCCTGACTGACGACTCATTAGTGTGGGTGTTAATAAGGCGGAGTTCTGCCCTAAATAACGCCACTCGATTCGTGCAGTTGAACAGATGAATTCATTGGTCACCTCGGTCAACCTCGCCGAACTACATCCAAGATTGACAGCTAACATTTGCTTGGGGCCTTCTTTTTGAGTCAGAGCGTTCGAGTTGAGTTTACTTCATGTCCACCTTTTGGGATGATACACCTCGCATGGCTAATCTCAAGTGGACTTGTCGACGTGCTGCTACTGTACAGTACTCTGCCAAAACATTTCTGCAATATGGTATGCACATATGTTGCCAGTATTGTTGCCCGCACATGCACAAGCACATATTGTGACTTGACCTAAGTATGAAGACATAGGTAGAGAGTTCGTACCACGACCAACTGGGAAAGAAAGGGTGGCGTGAAGACATATGGAGTGGTTCTCGCCGCTTGACCGCTTGACCGCTCAACCTATGTGATCCTTCCCAAGGCTGGAGCCTTGATGGTTTGGAAGAGCGATGGTTCTCTGCTCGCAACGGCGCTGTGAAGGCGTGCTGGTGCGAGGCTATCGTGCGACGTACAACGATACAAGCTCATCTCGGCGGACTAGCTAACAGTAAGATGGGGTGGCAGCTGTTCATGTGGCAGAGTCAAGAAGGTTGCTCTCATTATGCTTCAAAGATGTCACCACGCACGTCGCCCGCACGTTCTTTTGGTGCCGTTGCCACTGGAATGGTATTTGTAGACCCAGAAACCAATGTAATTGGATGCAGATTACGGAGGCCGATTCAAGTCATGCCCCTCCGCAACTTGTGGGGTGTTGCAGTGGGCGCCCAACACGCGCAACAACAACAATGCCAGTAGGGCTGAGAACTACCAAATTGCCCTGCCCTGGACTAGGACCCCGGAAAGCGAAAGCGATGCATCTGCGGATAGCCATTGCATGGGCGAGCTGGAGCGCGCAGGTGACTGGCTCTTTCGTCTGAATCCTGGGCCTCATCCTGGTCCCCACCTTCCATCGCCAAAGCGACGGGAAGCCATGGAAAAACATCGTGTCCATTTCGCATCTGCTCTTCTCTCTTGGACCCCAAAGCCAATTGCAGCTCCTAGCTCGTACAGTACTCGGTACCTCCAGATACTGGTAAGGCTAGAACCAAGGCATGTCTGGCAGTATTTGAGGCTCCAAAGGTCGTCACCCCACAGTGCTCCGTACTGGTCAGAAAGCGAGGGACTTGGAAGAACCGGTGTGGTATTCTGTTCGTGATGGCCGGGTGGTGGGGCAAAATAGAACACCTGTATAATCTTCCAAGGGGTCAAGCTGGATCATGATGCAGCTGCATGCGGTGAACCAGAGCACAATAGCCGTGAGCCTCGTGCCTCGAGTAATGTCCGTGGCGCTCGAGGCTATCGTGAAAAACGAGCCCCACGGCATTACAAGACAAGTAACCTCTACGCGAGCAGGGCCAGTGGACGGTGAGGGACTCCTCGAGTAGAATCCACCGAACAAGAAAACCGGCGGTCGCTTCTCTTACAGTTTCTGTACGGAGTATGAGAGCATGAGCATGAGCATGAGAAGACGAAGATAGCCGAGCCTCCATCTTGTCTTTTCTGACGAGAGCCCGAGTGCGAGGCCATGACTACCACTCGTGGGTATCAAAATCGGATATGTCTAAATGACAAGCCGAAATGGAGTACCATGCCATAATACCAAATAAAGCTGATTCATCGCCAGTGCCCTCGTAGGCGAGACGGGAACGGGTCATCATCGTCTTGGTCGTGAAAAGCACCGGTCAAACTCGGCGAATATTGGAAGTTCAATCAAAGGAGGAAGTTAAGGGACGGCACTTGCAATAATCATCAACCCACAATAATGCAAGAAAAGCCGAGCAAGAATCAAACAATGCCTGGTGATCCATAATCCATGATTGTTATTGCTTGACGTTCCGGCCCTACGGCAGGGCTTTACGGCGTTCCAGACGGAAGAGGAGCTTGAGCCTCGGAGGGGTCCTGTTAAGGTTCTGTTGTCTGCATTAGCTTTACTGTAAATTTGATTACAGTAGGGCACCAAGCCCGTTGATCGTACGGGGTACTCAGAAGTATTGTATCCGGCCCCGGTATCCGCAAGGACGAAAGGACATCGTCTCCGTCTCGCCTAGGGAAAGGAGGGAAAGGGAGAGGAGGGAAGGGCAATTTTTGCCCTTTTGCTTTGGCCTCCGGACAGTAGTCAAGTCATCGTGAGTCGAGTCGTGTGAGATAACGGAATTATTGGAGGTTAGCTGTTTCCGAAGGAAATAAAAAGTGGCAGAGATTCTTGTTAGTGAATTTGATTTGAAGTACTGTACCAGTATTTGATGAAGTACGAAGTATTTGAATATCTCAAGCATTCTACTCTTGGGACAACCATTTCGATTATCCGAGAGATTTCGGTTAACTATCTTGATTCGTCTAGATAACTCAAACAATAACGAAAGTTGACCTTAGTTACTTTGTACTTCATACATGAACAGGAAACTTTTCTTGTCTAGGTTGGACTCTACTTCTACCATCAGATCCATGACCATGATCCACCAAAGATCCGTTGGCACCTGCACCTGCATTCTTAGTACAGGAGGCACAGTAGAAGTCCTTGGTGAGTATCTTGTAGGAAGGAATCGAACCCGACAGTTCCGCTCAAGTACGACGATACACACCACAGACACCACATACGCCTCGGTTCATTCCAGCCACACCATGCGCACGCTGAAGGCAGTGAGAGCACCACGACGTGCATGATTCGTCGTCGTCTTTTACTCTTCAGGGAGTGAGGGAAGAGTATCTCATCTCGTACTCGCAGCCCTGTGTCTGTATCGGTGCTGCCCAGCCAGCCCATCCACCCTCTGCTTAGGGCTAGCGGCGGGCGTATTTACTGCTGCGGTGCACAAGTAAGCTAAGGCGGTACTTTTACGGAGGAGGGCTTTTGGGTACCTGACCTCTCCGTTTTTGCATGCCCATCTCATTCTGCCCTGCCTGCCCTTGCCCGGGCCCTGGCTCGTCGAGTCGTAGCTGTTTTTGAGGTTGGCCGCTGCCGTTGTTCTGGGCTGCACTTATGGCACTACCTACGGAGTACAGTCGAGTACAGTCGACGCACTGGCTCATTTAAGGCCTGAGGGGTATCGTTATCACGGCATCCCTCTACCCCTATCCCTTCTGCCTCCCTTCTGCCTCCCTTCTGCCCCTTGGTGCCCCCCTTCAATGATTTGCTGGATTCAGCTGCACCTCAGTGCTTTGCAGCTTCCTGCTTGTACAGTATATGTCAATACCTACAATCACACCTACACCTACACCTACACCTACACCTTCTCCTGCAATTCTTCCCTCTCACCTCCATCACTTGTGTAGATTTCGCCCACCAACTTTCTCTGTACGGAGCTCCATGATATTTTTTACCAAGAACGGATTCCCTCTACTCCGTACTTCTCGCCGTGCCAGCACCCAGGTAGTGCAACCCTAGCACGGCTACTCGCCCTCGCCCTGCCTGCCCTGTCCATCCATCCGCATCCACTGTGGAGAGGCTACTCTATTGTTCCAATTCACATTCATCGGCCCCATCAGCGCCCTGGGGCGGATACCTTAGCGTACTTCTAGCTGCAGTGCTGCAGTGCTGCAGCGCAGACTCGTGCGTTACCCTCCTATCCTCCCGCCCTCCCTACGCCAGAACTAAACACCGGGACTACTGCGACTGGGACTCCTCGACTGGGACTGGCACTGGCACTGGGACCTCTTTTGCCTGGGTACTTCTCTCTCCCTCCTGACTAGTGGTGCTAGTCTATGCGCGTCTATGCTAGTCCATGGTCCATAGTCCATAGTCCAAAGTGGCTGTCCCTCGCTGCTCCAAGAGCTCTGCTTTGCTCTGCCCTGCCCTGCCACCCACTGCCATTGCCACTCACTCCACTACTTGTACGAGTACTTACTTACCTTTCTCCTCTCAAAACAGAACCTCCCCTCAATATTGTTGTATACCTATACCTATACCTATACTTATCCCTATACCTCCCTCTACCTATACCCGTCCAAATATCGTCGATACCCATTCCTTGCCTCCTCCTCCAATTCCTCCCCACCCACAGTCTGCCCGCCATCGCCTACGCCGAGGACCCTTTTCTCTCCAAAACCTCACTCCTCGTTCCAGCTCCTACGAACGTCCATTGCCGTCCCACGGCTGTGCCAGATCCACCAGCAGGCGTAGAATTCCTTCGCGTTTCCGAAGTCCATCTCGATGACATAAGATCCTATCGTCCCTTTGAAGCAATTTCTTTCCTTTCTTGTCTTATTGTATATGGAATTGGGGTCAACGTCAGGATATCTATGTTTCGCCTGCAAATCTCCGTCCTAGCTGCCCCTCTGCATACAATTGCCACCAAGACACCCCCAATTCTCGAGGTCACCGCCGGTCCTTTCAGCTAGTGGCAACCCAACTCAAGCTCCAAGCGTAACCGCGATCATGGACATACCTCAAAGCGGAGCAAGGCCGTTAGCTCTGCCCGAAATTTATGTACATCAGTCGGCTTCTGAACCATATCGAAATTCAAGCAGATTAAGCCCATACATCTCATCATCCTCAACCACCTCTGCTGTTCCAATGTCAATACCCAATTCGAGAGAATATGTTCCTCCACCACTTCCACCACCGAAAGAGCTTCCCGACATAAAATCGAATGGAAAAAATGGCCCCGATATTGCGTGGAGGTTTGGAAATAAGCAAAGCGATATAGGAAGCTTTGGTTCATCTGTTGCTCCAGGATCCAGTCTTCACGGAAGTAGCTTTAACAGGAAGGAGAGTATGATGGATGAACGACCTGATTACACTCGTCGTACCAGTTCGTCCTCGACAATAAAAACAAGGGGAGAACATGATCATGGCTATCCTCGGGACGAAGGCTACTCGAGCCTCTCAACCGCCAGTAACGAATCATATAGGTCAGTTCTTCTCTCTCCGCTCTTGTCAATCATATCAGAGCCAGCGAACCATCCTTTTTCCATTTAGTGAATCAAAGCACAGATTGAAAGCTTCTACTTCTCCCACTTTCTCTTCATCGTCATGGCTAACCGCATCATTCAGATCTACATACCAAGACCCTCTATCAGCAAGGTCCTTCTCAAGTTCCGTTCACGATACGTTCCAAACGAATGCTCAGGCTTACGACAAATCACTGCTACTGAAGTTGGATTCCCGAAGATCTGGGGACAATAAGACGCCCCCTCGAGGCTTTTCCAAATCTCCACATTTCAGCTTTTCTGCTAATGATGCCTCTCCAACATCCAGAGGGAGCCTCGATCATAGGCATCAGCTTAAGCCACTTTCCCTTCCTATACTCAGTGGCCGGCCAGGCATGGGCTTCACAGAAAGCCCTATATCACTTTCGAGATATGGAGACAGAGATGCCCCATTATCGTCAGCGATATCTCCTGGAAACCCCTTCCCACGATTTGGTTTACAAACCCAATTTGATTACAGACCATCTAGTGAAGCAGAATCAGATAGGTCACCGCTTCCATATATAAGAGGTTCGGGTAGTAGTTCAGCACTAAGTTTAGGTGATGATACATCTAGTATCACTAGCCGTTCAAGAGACGGTATTGATCATAGGGTATCCCCTGATCATGATGTAGACTTTCCCATGGAAGAAACGAGATCAGGCATTCGACAGCTTTACATTGATGATCCTTCAGGTCGGTCAGATCCGTACTCGCCTGGCGCGAGTACTGGACAGAAGCGGCGTGCTTCTTCTCCGCCCATAGATGAGGGAGGGCATTCTCTTCAGACAGTTGGAAGTGCCAGCGATCTTTTCCGACGACGAGAATCAGCATCACGGAACTCGCCTACCCCACGTCTACATTCGACGTCCGGTTCTGTCTCTTCGACGGCATCGGGCCAAAGAACAGGTTCATATGCCTCGTCGACGTTGTCTACATTGTCAATTGCCCCGAGTAGCATGTCTAGTATGGGCTCTTATGGCCGTCTCTCTCCCGGTGGAATCTCTCCAGGAGGATCAGATTTTATCGATCTCCCATATGGACCACCAATTCTGTTGAATCCTAGTCCACATGGACCAGGTTCGAGACCAAATCACCAACGGACTTTGTCTTCTGAGACCCGACCTCTTATGTCATCTCGAAAACTTTCCGATGGTATGGGCAAATCACATGGTACGCCGAAAATTCAAGGCATCTATATGTGCGAGTGTTGTCCCAAGAAGCCCAAAAAGTTTGATTGCCAAGAAGACCTTGAGTAAGTAATTTGGAAGTAATGTTCGGCAATCACTAATCCTGTTTTTAGAGCACATGAACAGGAAAAGCAATACCAATGTGCATACTGCAACAATCGTTTCAAGAACAAAAATGAAGCTGAGCGACATCAGAACTCGCTCCATCTTCGCCGCCATTCATGGTCTTGCGCCGCGCTTTCTGGTTATTCCGCAGCATTCCACGAATCCTCTAATCGACCCAATGAAGCAGATTCGTGTGGGTACTGTGGCGAGGATTTTCCTCGTTCCGGAATTTCCTCTCCGTCTGCCTCTAGACCGCAAATGCATGTCGCAACAGACAGAGACTGGGATGTTCGCATTCAACATTTACAAGAAATGCACAAATTTGGTGAGTGTAATCACGCAAAGAAGTTTTTCAGAGCCGATCATTTTCGACAACATTTGAAGCATAGTCACGCTGGTACAAGTGGGAAATGGACAAATATGCTCGAAAACTCATGCATGAAGGACGAGCCACTGCCAGAACCGATCAGAGGACCTGAAAGGGTTAGTCCTGGAGGTGGAAGAGTGGCTAGAATTAACGAAGAGGAGGAGAGTCTCTGAGTCACGCTATGGGCATAGTTTAAGCGCTGTTGAATTACATTATCCATGGGCATATCGGCAGAAAGTCACGACAAGAAAACGGAAAGCAAAAAAATCTAACGGCCGTACACGAGATACCCGGATCGCTGTTCATTTTTTTATATATATCATCGGCATTGCTTGCGTGTTTACGTTGTCCTCTCCTACCACATTTCATCTTAAATACTTTCACAGGGTGAAAAAGCATGGTGGCATAACAGTTTCTTGATTGCATGGCGCTTGGTGTTGTTTTAACATGGGTTTCATCTTCATATATATATATACATATATTCTGGCTAATCAAAGACGATTGGTCAGATTATTTTTTTGCATGGGTTTTGGCGCTCGCTCTGCACACACACACACATCACCCGAGGGGTGGCTAATTTTGACATTTATCTTTTTGCCAATTAATGCCAATATGTTTTGAGCGTGGGTTATCTGGAAGGGATCTTAATGGACTTTTTCCCCTTTCAATTTTTTTAATAAGTGGATGAAGGAATCTTTTTGGTTACATTTATCATCTTGCGAGACAAGATAGCTTTTTGTTTAGGGATGGCGGGGATAGGGTGGAAAGCCTTTGAAAAAATCTTATCTATATTTCCGGGGGGGGAGGGTTTTTAATGGTATACGTAGAAAGGGAGTGGAAGTGGAAGTGGAAGTGGGAGGAGGGAAAGATTTAATAATGAGATCAATGATTTTATATATTACAGATAGGTGAATGGAATAGATTTAATTTTATGGATGGTTTTGTGTGTTGGGTTTTTTTATGGGGGGTTTTGAGTGCGTGAGAGAGTAAGAGAGGGGGGAGGGGGGAAGGGAGATATGTGGGTGTTTTGTGGGTTGGGATGGATTAATGGATGGGATTTCGTCGCCCTGTCTGTCTTGTGATTGTACAGTACCCCTCCCTACCTACCTTTTTCCTTTTTCCTTTTCTGATCTGATCGGGGGTTTTTGGTGAAGTTGTGAAGTTGTGAGGTTGTGGGATTCGTCGTTACGGGGAGAGGGGGGGACGGGGCAGGGGAGAGGGACGTACTTGGTTTCCTTGCCTTTTTTTTTTTTCTTTTTTCTTTTTTCTTTTTATATGGATTGGATTGGAATGGGGAATTTTCTTTGGGTTCTTACTTTTGATTGTTTTGAGGGTTTGATGATTTAAGAATATGAGGATTTGAGGTTTATTGGTTGGGTGGGTTAGGTGGGTGAGGTGGGGTGAGGTGATGTGAGGGATTGGTTAAGATTGTGAGATTTCTAGGAAGATGTTTGGGTAGGAGGAAAGAGAGGAGGTTGGTACTGTAGAGGGAGATTTTTGGGGTGGGTTATGGGTGGTTCGGGGGTTTAAGGATAGCAGATGGGAGATGGGGGAGTGAGAGTGGGAGTGGTGAGATACTTGGTGATGTGATTATGGGAGGCTTGGGAGGGCTGAGGGCTATTTTGTTGTTGTTGTGTCTTGTAATGTAAGGTGAGGTAAGGTAGATTATTTGGGTAGTTGGATATATACTTTGGATGAGGTGTGGATACATAGATGGGATACTATAGGTAAAGCTGGATTTTCTATCTAAGTTAGAGTAAAGGGATCTGGACTACTTGATTTTTATTCTTCTACTGTTTTCTTATAGCTTGAATTTGGCGATTTGGCGGTTTGGTATGGTGGTTTGATGGGTGTGGTGTTTGGAGATGTAGACATACTTGCTTGGATGGATGGTGTGGGTTTGGGGTTTGGGTGGGGGAAGGGGGAATGAGGAGTAAGGGTGGTGTTGTGGGTATATCAATTAGTAGCTGCTAGCGTAATAAAAATTTAGCTGGTTATTCATTTTGATTTAGGGATTTGGTATGTTTGGTTTAATTTAGTTGAAATAGGTTGGGTTGGGTACAAGGAGGTGGTTTGATTTGGTTTAGTTGAGTTGAGTTGAGTTAGGTAGTTGAAGTGGGTTCATGTATTTAAATACATACTACTTATATAGTATATAATATATTACATGTAGTAAATATGAGTGTAGTTACTCGGGGATAATTGTTTTACTAAGGGGACGCTGAGAGAATCTTGTTTGAGTAGAGGTTGGATGGGAGGGAGTACTATGTCTAGGTGTGGATAGTGACTAAGTAAAGAAGCATGATATTCTATTTTACATATAAGGGACTAGATGTTCACCATATTATTGAGGTAAATCCTATTATACTAGATGACTCGGATAACCCCTTCAAAGTGTACTTATACTTACCGGGTAAGGAAAGGTAACATGATCATAAAATATAACGGAAATGTCTCAATACGATACTCACTCACTTACTCACAAATTCCTTGTATGCCTCGTCGATGGTATCCCTTTTTACACTTCTTTATTGCCTTGACTAAGTTTCTTTCCGTAGTAATATTCTTGAACTCTTGTTGTTGTCTATGCTACCTAGGGTGGATACTGGGTTTTCTGGCGCTTGGTGGGAGGAAGTGAGGGGGAGGGTAAGTACTTTCCTGTCAAGGGAGTTGATGTTGTTTTCTGGGTTTTGTGATGTGAGGGGTGATGGTGTGGATGTTGGTTTGTGGGGACCTTTGATGTTGGTGGTTTTTCTATGGGTATAGTTAGGTCTTTATGTTAGGGGCTCTGGGTTTCTGTCTTGAAATATGGTCTTTTACTGGTGAGAGAGGGCCGCTGGAGTGAGTCCAGTCGTTTAGTGGATGGTTGTCTGGTTGTGTACAGTTATGGATGGCATAGGCTTTTACTTATGTATCAAGGTTACTTACTACCAATTGTAGTAGTGTTATGCTATATATGCTTAAGTAATAGAAAGTACCTATCATTAATTGTTAACGCACGGTACGGGTCTATGTGCAATAATGAGCTAGTGTCATTAATAAACGAAGTTCCAAATTCCTCTACTGTGTATGCTGGATTTTAAGAGATTGCTATCGTCTGTACAAACAACGGCACAGAGCCAAATAACGGAGAAACTGATATTGACTTTGACTCACACCGCGCTTTGCATTTCTATCTCGCATTTTCCAGAGTTTTCTTCGCTTCCTGTGTTGTGAGTGGAGGGTCTGTAGATCGCTTCGATTAGATCGACTGTTACTCTACACAGCTTGGATTGTGTTTCAGGACGAGTTGTCGGGTTGGTCATGATTTCGAGTAGGATAATGGAGTACAAGGTTCGGAATCCTTCCAGTAGCTACTGTAGGAAGGTACCGCTGTACCGATCCCGGTGGCAGGTATATCTGATTGCGTTACAGAAGCCCTGGTTTGCGAGATGGATAGGTGGATGAGGACTTAGGAACCCTATTCTGAGAGTGAATGAGGATGTGAGGAGGTGAGAATGATTCCATCGCGTGGTCTGAAGTGTTGCTCTATGGATTATGGATGTGGATGTGGATGTGCTTCTGAGGAGTGCAGGTAGGACTACGATATGATGATTCGTAAAGGAGTTTTGGATACTTGGCTTGGATTGTTACTCATTGGTATGAGGGTATGGAGGTATGGTGAGGTGGGAGAAGGTGGTTCTCTCTTCTTCCCTTCGTAGGGCAGAAGGATTGTGGTGGCTGAGTGTTTGATCATTCTTCCGATATCTCGTGAAGGAATTGTCTTCAAGAACCTGATGGGCTAGAAGGCATCGAGCTCAGTCTCGGTTCTTTCAAGTGTGTGGATACAGAGGAAACGCTTGTCTTGTATCGTGAATGTGGTGAGGTTTGATGATGTTGTGATGTTTGAAAGTAGTGGCAAATGACCCTTACTGACCGCGTGGATTTGGTGGGAAGTTATCTGTGCGGCTTGGTAGATATTCAGCACGAGAACTATATCATCCATGGCACAATACTGCTTGCAGCATACGAACACCTGTTGTTGGAGCTGAAGACGGAGTTTCTTTTGGATGTGACGCATGCCATATGGAATCCTTCATTATGCAAGGAAGACCTGCGCTAACAAGGTTCGCAATGAGCGGAGAGATGATCCGATAAGTAGATTCATACCGTGACCGAAATATTGAGGCTATGGTGCTTGATGAGATGGCTCAGCGAGGTTTTGGCGTACCAGTGTTAGAGACGAGTACCGGATACAGCGGCTTCACAGTACGAGAGGTGGACCCATCGCATCCTTTGAAGACAAGGCGTAGAAATATACCCGCGGAATCACTTTTTTTCTTGTAGGGATTCTTTGGGCATTGAGGACAGTGATGCAGGGCACTTCAGACTGACTGTGATGAGAAATAGATGTGCAAAGGATGGATGACGGAATTTGTTACATCACGCCGAAGAGTCGCACACCACTGCTTTCCTGGTATGATGGCCTAATCGAGTGGTTCAGAATTGTCATGTGCAGGCCTTGGGAACAAATATGTAGAGGGCTAGTGCGTTAGGATCCAAAGGTATACGAGGTCTTGTCATCTCTTAGTTTCTATTCAATTATCATATATATATATACTTAGAAAACAAACTCTCATATGCTCGGAGGCTCTTAAGTTCTTAAGTTCTTCATGTAACAACCAAGATCCTTCGAGCATACGGGGAAGTGTAATGTCCACTAAGCTATGGACATATCACCTCTACATGTTTGGGCTCGCGACGGATCGAAATAGCAGCATAGTAGTAATTAATGCTCTTACTTACCATCGGAGCTTTCTTTGTGATTTGAAATAGTTCCAAGTACTTTGCAAAATGAAAAGAATCAATTGAAATTATAGTGCTATCATAGTAATTACCCTAAAGGATGCGTGTTAATCAGATGAGTCAAGTCAACCTGAAAAGAAGTGGTTCATTGAAAATTTCCCCGTCTAATATAGCTAGCACCTTACCAAAGTGCTTAAGAAGGATCAAGGATAGGATTCGTATCTCTTAATGATTCTCTTATTCCCCATGTTCTGATGAGCACAACAGATACAAATCTAGCTTCTCAAACGGCGTGTAAAATGTTATCCACACACCCTGGTTCGTCAAGCAAAAGATGTATCGCTTACCCAAAAATCTCGCAATTTACTCGAATACCACAGCAGAAATATCCCCATCTCTACTCAATACAAAATTTCTTCTTATCAAATTTCGAAACATCCGAACGTGAGACCTACATAGTAAACCGTTTCAATCATATCGATATCCCAATACATCAAAACCACAGATATGGGCAGATAAAGACGCGAAATTGGAAGATATCTCTTGTATCTTGATATCTCATGGGATCTGGAAAGTTAGCCCTAGAAATCTATTGATACACTGATGTAAGAGGCTTCTAGTAATTTCGATGTCGTTTCATACTAATTTCTTTGATAACAATATAAGAGGAGATGCGGAGAGGAGAGGGGGCTGATGTCATTGGAGTCACTCGCGAATCGCACAAAGTAAATGCCTTGTCTCAATGTCTAGACTACATAAGTTAGTAACAAGGCTGTATAATGATTCCAAATTAAAATCTCCCGACCATTTAGTGTTGCCCTATAGATCGTCACAGTCGTGGAACTAGTATGGTATAGGAAATCGATTTGTTCGCGCTCAGAGGACCTGTAAGGAACGTGTTGGGTTTCGCTAGCTTGGTTGTAGATTTATAGTACTACCATTATAACTAATTATCACTATGATGAGAAGGATCCTAGGAGATTTGGGTTTTTCTTTTGGGTAAGATTTATACGTACGCCCTCTTGTTTAAGTATCATGTAATGAAGGCGTTGTGTCATACCAGGCGCCCTCTCTGGTCAGGGAGCATGGAATGGTTTTCGTCCTTTCACGTATGTAGGGAACGATAGTATGGTCTTTCATAACATCAAACAGCTGTTTCAAATGGATATAGCATTGACTCACTATTTGTGTTTCTGCGCTATTTAAGACTCTGCGAATATAGAGCTGGCTGGTCTATAGAGGGTAGTAGAGTAGAGAGATTCGAGTACTACTATTTAGAAACCTCGTAGTAATTAGTAGCGTTTAATTATTGAATTAGTTATAGTAGCGCTTACTAATCTCAAAAGCTACTCTCTGATATACAACTAGCCAGCGTGGTAAATTCGAGTAGTTGAGTTAAGTAGTGGTACCTAATTAACTTAACTCGAGTAGTTAAAATTACTAATCAACTTAACTCGCCAAGTACTCGATTAACTCATGAGTAACTCAAGTAGTGTCGGCCCGATGCCCCGTAGCGCGACCGGGCTTGCTAGCCGACTCCCGATAGGCGGTCCGCCTACGTCTTAGCCGAGTGCCCCCGCCTTAGGAGTCGGGGCTAATAAATAGTTAAGATAACTCGCGTCTCCCTCTACCCTATATACGACTTGTTATAGGCAGGGTATAAGCCTATAATATAACCCTCTTTGCTAATTAGACTATCCGACTTATATAAAGGTATATTAGAAAGTAATTAAGAAAGGGGGTAGGGGGAAACCTAAGCTAGCTAGACCCTTTATAATTTATAGAACAGGGTTAGGATCTCTTTATTTATTTATTTATTACTATTTAACGTCAGGCGGAATCTAACTCGCGTGGGCTAGGTCCTAAAAGTCCCATTGTTGGGCAAATGACGCTAGGGGGGTGCCCTAGGCTACAGGGGGTGTAAATGAAAGTGCGCTAATTTACAAGAGATAGTTTAAAGAGAAGCCCCACTTCCGGAACAGCTCTCATTCTGAGTTAGTTTAAGAGCCAGAGTAAAAATAAGTTAACAGTGTACAAGATAGTGAGTAGAGAACAAGAGAAGAACTATATAAGACAGAGACCAAAGAACAGTAGAAAGAGGAGATATAGTGTAAGGAAGAAGAGGACTATCTAGGAGGACAGATCCTAGAGTAGAACTTTGTCTTATAGTAGATCTTGTGAAACAGTTCCTCGCATTGTGGTCCGAAGAGGAGTTGAGGGTTCCTCTGAGCCTTTGCAAATAGCTCAGGGGCTACTCTATTTGCTAGCCGGCAAAATAGTAGGTGAAATTGAGTCTTTTCTCTTCCACACTTACACTCCCCTGAAGTAAGTAGCGTGTCGAGGTGAAAGAAGCGAAGGTGATAAAGAGTAAAGTCACCGTGGCCAGAGCGAGCTGCAATTAAGCGAGCAAGAACCTCCCTTGGTAAGCGAAGTGATTGAGGCTTCGAAGACCAGTTGTTAAGCCCTAGGTCCTTGTATAAGCTTGGAAGCGTGGTTTTCCAGAGTTTCTTTGCAAGCTGAACCCCTGTCTCTTTAACTTCTCTTCTAAGTGTAGCAGTGCAGAGTATAGAAGGGGGGTCAGGAGGAGGTAGCCGAGCGCCTCTTCCCGCAGCTCTGTCCGCAATCTCATTCCCTTGAATTCCAATGTGACTAGGGCACCACCTGGTTTGAACTTTCCCAGGGTATAAAAGAGCTAACTCGTTAACCCTATTAAAGGTCCCTTGCGAGGTGCCACAGGATCGGTAGGTCAGTTGAAGTGTAGCTTCAAGATTGTCAAGGCAAATCCAGCACGTCCTTGCCGAGGGCCAGGAAGTAGAGGAAATAGCTAGTTCTAGGCCGTGTAGAGCAGCTCTAGCCTCTGCGTCGTAGATTTCAAGTGTCTTGCCAAAGGAGTAGACCTTCGTGTTAAGGATAATTCCTCCCTTTGTAAGACAAACGCTGCGTTCGCTAAGCCAGTGAATGATATTAAGTGTCTTATCTCTACCAAAAACAAAGACTACCGAGCTGCCATTAGCCAATTTTCTTCACATGGTTGAGATGGTAACCAAGTACCTAGACACTGCTATTTTTGGTACATGGTAACTTTGGTCCACTTTTCAGAAATTGTCTTGACAGGAGGATTCCTGTCTTATGGGAAACAGGGCCATAATTCTCCAAATGCTGTCATTTAGAGGATCATATTACCCCTCGTTGCTAGGTAGCAACAAGACCACTGGTGAAGCGCTTGTATTAGGATCCTAGTACTCGTACCCGCCTGTGACCCAGCTGAAATGAGCCCCTGCCCTGGTCCGTGGTAAGCGTGGCTGGGAAATTGGTACTGTCCCTGGAACATTATCTTGGAACAGTGCAGTATCACGGAATGGGATGTGAGATCAAGTCTGAGATGTGAATGATGGATGTGAGTTTTCGTGGTAGCAAATAATGACTTCTCATCCTGAGTACCGAGTTCAAGGCACATCTGTCTTGAGCTGCGCAGGGCAGGGCGGGCAGGGCAGGTCGATTCCGCATCAAGGTTCGGTCATGCAGGAGGCCTACGCTGCATTGAGCCACAGTGAGATGGAGAGGGAGATGCAGAGCTGAGGCGCCGTGATTGGATGAGAATGTATTTGGACTGACGAATACCACGCTGCCACAAATCGTGGTCGGATGAGGCGATTCAGCGATTCAATCACGCTGATGAGCAAACAGAAGATGCGATGAATTCTCCAGTCGGGGTTCTGTGCCTGTGCCTGTAACCTATACTAACTGGTGCTAATAGTGGTACCTCGAGTATTATAGCACTGTTTATGAGGGACCGTTGTGATTGCAAGGAAGGTGCTTCTGCTCTACCACTGCCACTGCCACTGCCACTGCCACTGCCACTCACTGCATCATCATTCATCCATCCCACGGTTCCCACCCATCACCCACCTTCGCACCTTCCACGCCCAAGCTCAATAGCCATTGCCGTCACCTGATTGGTCCGTTCATCCCGGATCAACAAGTGGGAAGCCCCCCGTGGCCAGCGCACAACGTTGCCCCGGTCAATTCTGTTGATAGCGGCGCCTGTTATTGCACCACTGTTTGCCCCAGATTGCAATCGTCCTGATTGCACGGCATCGCATCGCCCTCACCACCATCTGTGGTCCTGTCCAGCTTCAAGAATCCCGTAACAGTATCCAGACTTGCGCTGCACCACTGCGCTGCCTCGCTACTTTCTTCTGCCGCAGCCGGTGCCACCACCCAGAGACACAATTCCAAGGCCGTCGGCACATCTGTGCCCGCTGCCTTCGCGCGCTCGCCAAAACTCGCACCCACTATCCAAGCTCTCTCCACCTCTCACCAGCCTCCTCGAAAAGGCGGACAAGCTGCGATTGCATCTGCACCCCAACACCCACCCCACCCCTGATGCATCTCTGAACCTCATTTTTCCTTTCTCTCTTCCGAGAGAAGGCGGACAAGCTGCGATTGCATCTGCACCCCAACACCCACCCCACCCCTGATGCATCTCTGAACCTCATTTTTCCTTTCTCTCTTCCGCTCTTTCAGGATGGGTATCGAGGGCCGCAACGCACCTCCCCTCCCAGCACCCACCGAAACCGACACGACCAACGACGTCAGCGAGTTTGGCATCAGCGAGATAGGCGCCAGTGAATTTGGCTCCAGAACCACCGACAAAAGCCAGTACACACTGCCCGAAGACGGCAGTCCCGTCACAATTGCGACCCGACGGAAGAAAGGCGGCAAGGACGGCCTGGGAAACCTGTCCTCGAATAAATCCCAAACCTCCCTACTAATTGAATACTTTGAGGGCGGAAAAGAGGGCAAGTCGGAATCTCGCAGGCCCTCGGTCAGAGTGAAGGTCACACCGTCATCCAAAAGCAAGGGCCGATCGACCAACGACCACATCCAGATCACCGAGCGAAAAGGGACACGAAAACCCTCCTACACCAAGAGAATTCAGCTGTCGCCCAACGTCCGAGACGACAAATCCGTCGATGGTGAGGGCGATGATCACAGTCTTCACTCTTATCGCTCAGCCACCGAGGAGTCCAACGTCACTTCAAGAGGCGGTGGACCAATTGAAGTGGAAATCATGCCGCGACGCCATGGAAGCCCATTGATCCCAAGTGAATCGAATCTTGCAAAATATGTACAACAAACGGCCTCCGAGATCTCTTCCATGCCCGCCGATAGTTTTCTCGATGGACAGACACGCTCACCTCAATCACCCCAGCGAAAGCGTAGTCGAAGTCTATCAAGAGGGGAAGCATTGGCGATTGGCGCCGGCGCTGGTCTGGCGACGGGTGCCCTAGCTGACAAGTTAAGCGCTCCTACACGGCGACGCAGTCGAAGTCTTAGCCGGGAGCGGATTGTTGTACAAAAGGCAGCCGAGAAGGTTCGAGGTGAAAAATCCGAGCGCCGGCGCAAACATCGAAGTCGAAGCCGGAGCATGAGTGGAGAACACCTAGAAGGCATCAAGTCTCCCAGAAGAAGGTCGAGTCGAAGTCATCACGAAGAGTCGCTTGTTTCTGGTGCAGATTCAAGTCTGCTTAATTCTCATCTGAGTGGTAAATCAGGCGATGCATATTCATTTAGGTCTGGCACCTCGAAATCTTCAATCAACAACCCAAAATTACTTGAAACAGTGGAGGATGCCATCCGACGACTGATATTACCTGAACTGACCGCACTGAAGCGAGAGCAGAGCAAGCGGACTTCGCATCATGAGCGTGAAAGAAGAGGCTCGCTTACGTCTGGCAGTGGCGTGTCTGGCCTGTCCAAAGATTCACGAGAGGAGACTTCGAGCACCCGAAAACGATCTGAACATGGAAGTACTACAGACCTTTCATCCAGACCAAAAGTCATTCTTAACGACAAGGAGGTCTTATCGGGCAATTCCATCAAGGCTCGCAAGGACAAAAATATCGATAGAGTCAAGTTAACAGACTCGCCTAGAAGCTTCGAGCGAGGCTCGTCAGAAGAGACTGCCATACAAGATGGCGAGCGTGTACGCAAGAAGCGAAGTAGTCGCGGCATGGAAAGCTCTGCGATTGATGCTGGAGTGGGCGCTTTAACCAGTGCAGCATTACACAAACACCAGTCTCAGGATTCGGTCAACAGTGAGAAAAAGGAGCGCCGCCGCAGGAGGACCAAGACACATAGCCGGACTGGCAGTACAGCCGAAAGCTATGATGAGCGAGAACTTGCTCCGCCAATAATGCCTCTTATGAGCGAGATCAACCCTTCTGATATCACCAGAAGCTCAATATTGTCGGCAGAGACCGATCGGCCCAACTCAGCAAGTCTAGAACACCGACCTATGCAAATTCAAGAAGTATCCCGTGGTGTTGGCTCCCCCGCATCGTTGACGCCGACAAGAACACCAGTTGCTTTACAGCAAGGCCTTGGTACACAACACTCGAATTACTCGCGTGGAAACCTTAGTCTTCATAGTCAACACAGTGAACAACAACTGCGCAGTGAAGAATACGAATTGGACGAGCATGGCCGCAAGGTCCCAATGCATGGCTCTACAGAACAACAGAGCTCATACGTCGAAGAAGAGCGGGGCACTGGTCGCTCACGAGTCATCGGCGCTGGCATGGCTGCTCTTGGAGCTGCCGGCCTAGCGGCATATCAACATCATGACGACGATCATGAAGATTCTGAACTTCTCGATGACTATGACCAGCCAAGTTATTATCAGAATACTCAAGAGGTACCACCGCCACTACACTATGTCCCTTACGGTCATGAAAGACGGGGCCTGAGCCCTATTCAAAGCGTTTCCGGATACACAGAAGGCGACCCCGACCTACAACGCTCGTCCAGATTAACACACAGTACAGGATCGTATTCGTCTCTGGGCAAATCCGTTGATCAAAACTGGAAAACCATTGGAAGTTCCACAAAGTCAATGGACTCATTGGGCAATGGTCATCATAATCGCCATGACTTTCAAGAGGTCCGGCAAGGCGGGCTTACGGATTCTGAGCTTACACAGGACGGCGAGTATTGGGAGGAGCAACATCGGGAGAACAACCGCAACCGTGAGATGGACTCGGAAAGTTATCACAGTTCTGATCCCCGTGTCGCAGCTGGTCAAAATGTTCGTGGTGTAGGCCTAAATGCAGAATACGTGGACACTCCCATCGCAGTTGAGTCTGCGGTAGCGTCGTTGCTCAATGCTTCTGATCTTACAAGCGGCGTATCCGGGCATTCAGGTAACAATGGTAAATACGATCGAAGAGGATCATACGCATCATACGAGGATGACTCTGAGAGGCATTTCACCACAAGCCCCGCCAAAAAGGGCATGGGCAGAGGTCAAGAGCACGACGACTCTGACCGGGCTTCAAGTCGCCAAGATAGCCCAACCAAATATTCTGAATACGAACTCGACGACCAAGGACGGAAAATTACTATGCCCAAATCAAATGCGCACGCAGTCGAAAGAGAAATTGCTGCTGGAGCTGCTGCTGCAGTTCTCAGGAGTCACAAGAAGAACGATGCCGACGAAATCCAGTATCAGCAATGCGATGACACTTCTGGTGCTCCATTAAATAAATCGTTCAAAGAGCGAGCTTTAGAAGGTCAAGGTCAAATCCCTTCGCCACGCCAGAGTGTAATTTCTGGAATGAGCATAGCAAGTAGCCATGAACCAGCAATGGGTGCCAGCGGACTCCCAGACTTAAATAATCCTGAGCCAGAGTATGGTTATGCTGATGATGTGTCCGATGTGACCACGAACCCATCAATCATCAACGGTCCAGGTGGTGGCCCCACTGGAAGCCGAGATCATTGGTCGGGTCATGCAACACCTACAAGACTCGATACCGGAATGTCACCTCTCTCTCGAAACTCGGATGCGAATCTCAAAGCTGCTTCAGCAGCTCTTATTGGTGCTGCTGCTGGCGCAGAAGGCGCTGCCGCCCTTGCACACCACAGCAGAGAATCAAGCCAAGACCATGATGAAGAGTGGCGAAGAACTTCTGGGGAGCGCAAGCGGGATACTCTGGTAACCAACCCGTACGAAGGCACCAGTCCTATCGCCGCAATTGGGGGTCAACTGGACGCAAACTTGATGCACCAGTCAAGCTTCCAAAGCGGCCATCAGTATAACGCTTCCAAGACGGGCTATCAAAGTCCAGGTGTTGTGCCCAAGGACGAAGGTTATATGTCTTCTGCCCCTAATGCCCGTTCCCCACGTCCTTTCACCCCGGAACAACGCGGTAAAAATGTCGGTTTTCTCGATGAGAAACGGGACGGTCCAGCCAATGCAGGAGACCCATTCTACGCACCAGGTCATGCTCGACAAAACAGTGACATGTCCCACGGCATGGGTTCACCAATTTATGATAGTGCCACCGGAAATGGAATGGATCGAATCCAGTCCAAGGATATTGTGGCTTTGATGGATCACGTATGTATTCCTTGTTAATGTTCTAGGAGCCTGCTAACATCCCATAGCTCACTGTACGCGATGCTCAACGCAGCGCACGTGATACAGAGATACTTGTCACTCTCGTTCGCGCGGCCGCTGAGATGCGAAATTCCTTTGAAGATATGAAGCGTCTTTTGGCCGATACCGAAGATGTCATTATCACGGAAGTTCAGGCTAACACCGAAAAGACGGTTCAGAAGGTCATCAACGGACCAAGGCCTCTTCCACCAAGTGCTGCTCGCTCAATTCGGCAAGGGTCTCAGGATGAGATGTACGATGATATCCCGAACAAGAAGAAGAATGTGTTCCGAAGAGCACTCAAGGGACTCAGCATGCGCAGTTCCAATGACCTTGGAAAGATCGAGGATATGCTTGTTACACTTTTGGGAGAAGTCGAAGGACTTAAAGCAGCTCAAGGATTAAAGAATGACATGCGGGAGGTTGACACTTACAGTGATCTGAATCAAGAAGGCAACTATGAGCAGGACCGTGGGTATGAACCGGAGGGCAATGCTGGTACATCCACCGCTAGCCACGCGAGCCAATCCGGACATCTTTCGATCCCGTTGTCAAGAGGACCAAGTGCAGCAAGAGGTTTTGATGGTCGAAAGTTTTCGGATCACCGTATCAGCACTGTGCCGGAAGGTGACGAAGAAGAACCAGTCTCACCTGAAGAGGAACCTCGCGAGAAAGGAGTTTCTGGTACTCATTTCGAGGATGAGGAACGCTCACGAACCCCAACTCAAGAATTCGCCCGAGCTGGTTCTGCTCCTTTAGATACTCCACCCCAACCGAACCTTCCTCAGGGTTCTTTGAGCAATGACAATACACCAAAAACAGAAAAGAGCAAGAAGCACAAATCGAGTAGCTCTTCTGGTTGGATTCCCAAGGTTTCACGATGGTCAGAAACGACAGCTTCGACTGTTCTACGAGGATTCCGAAGTAGTGGACGCAATAGTGGAAGAAAGGAAGAGTACACACCTCCTTCAAGATCCGGTTCAGATCTTGGCAATTACGCAGAGCCTGATCAGCAATACGAGCAAGATAAACTCCACTCTGGATTTTCTGAGGAGCAAATGCAACAATATGATGAAAATCAGCCTATATCAATGCTCTCCCCTGAGGACCCCAAATACAAGGCTCATCGAAACTCTTTGAACCTCCAGCACCCTCAACCACGACCTGGTCCAACCCATCGATATCAAACGGCCTTGGAATCCCAAGCTCCATTCTTTGACCAACCCAGTTCCCCAAAGTCTCTAGATTGGGGATCTTCAACAAGCATCAATCACCTACCTGCTCAACAGACAAATCGTTATAGCACTGGTACCATGAACACGGCTGGAAACCTATCTCCTATCTCAGATGGTGGCTACTCCAACGGTTCTGCCTCTAATCAGGGTCCTGCCCGTCCTCCCAAGGAACCTCTCTCTCCTGAGCGGCCACCAAAGGTTCGAGCCAACAAACTTCAAAAACCAAGTCCATTAAGTCGTGAACATCTACAAGCTGAGCCTACTTACGATGATTATCAACCTGGTGGTTCCCCAAGGTCTGCAGCTAGAAAGCTTTCTGGTGCCATGACTGGTGTGCCAACCAGAAAGCCAACTGGTCCAAGAAGTATGAGCACTGCATCAAAGAGTGGTGAAGGGTTGAATCGAGATGAAACAGTCATTCGCAGAAACGTAAATAGAAGTAAGTACTCCGTATCATAGGCCGCGTCAGCCCAGACTAATAGATTTTAGATACGTTTGGCACGGTAGCAAGTCATCATAGCCATCATAGCGAGGGGTCTGAAACTTTCTGAAGATAATTTTGATTTTTTTTCCTTCTTTACAAAATTAGATGAGCGACGGGATTCTGAACGGCGTTTAATGAAGATATCTCACGATACATACTACACGCACATACTCGAAGTATTCTGTGTGTATTACTTCACCTACCTTTTTTATGCTACTGGTTTAGCAACTCCACTACATTACGACTTTAAAAATTTGTGCAATATCAAAGGGGATTTGTCTTTTAGGGGAGGGGAAGTGGATAAGTTTTATGGAGAACTGGGATCATTGATTTGATAGGATAGCAATTTGGGGGAAAGCACTAAATATTTGGGTTCGCTTTGCCTCGGGGGGTTTTCACACGTTTTTTGAGGAATGATTTGATGGATGATGAAAGGGTGGGATGTTGAGCGGGAGGGGAGAAGGTGAAAAGAAAGGGGGTTGTGGAAGGTGGATTTCAAATGGAAAGAAAAACCCTTTTTTTGTTCAGAGTAATTACTTTTTTCCAGAGTGGGTTTTCATATTCTTCTTTTTTTAAGGATTTTTTTCCCCTTCTTCGGATGAAGGAAGGAGAGAGGGAGAGAGATCTGGAATATTAATTTGTGGTAGGGGGGGGGGAGAGGGGATTCAATGAATGATATTAAGCTCTGTTTACATGACTACTACGTTGCTATGTGATGTCCTCATTGCCCTCCCACCGGATCTTCCGGACTTACTTCCCCTCCTTCCTCCTTCCTTCCTTTAACAACGTAACCGGAAGCAAGGGTCTCCCGCCTGGTTAAGGTTAGGGGGACGCGTGGATGGTAAGTTCTAACTTCTGGGGGAGGGTTACTTGGGTTTAGGGATCTTAGTTTGAGGGTTGGTAATAAAGGGTTAATAATAGAGAAGGGGGGACGGGGAGGATACGAGATAGAGGGGAGGGGGTTATTTATGTTTGGTTGTTAAGGGAAGGGGATGGATGTTTAAGGGGGTTTTCACTTGAGTATTACGTGGAATATAGAATCCATGGATACCTATAGGTACTGACCGTACTGTAGGTATAAGATAGAAGAACATAAGCGTGGATACTTGACGGGTTATTACTATCGACTCTCGAGACCTTCAGTCTGCTAACACTTAAAGTGTAGGATGGCTTTTTGAGATGGGATGTGGTATTGTTCTTGTGCTTCTCTTTTTTCTTTCTTTTCTTTTGGAATTTTTCTTTTGGAAGATATTGGAAAATGTTGGAAAGTGTGGGTTGTGGGTTGTGAGACTAGAAGTGATGGATTCCTTTGGTCGGGTGTTTTTGGAAGGAAGTGTTTCGTGGGAAATGTGGGAGGAGAGATTTGGAGGGAGGGGAGGGTGTAGAGAGTGCTTTTGTGGGAGAGTGGGGAAGGTGGCTTGTTTTTTTTGGTGGAGAGAA